TTTTCCCACCGGACACTTGGCCTCCGTAAAATCAAATGGGGAGTGGGGGGGGGGGGGGGGGGGGGGGGGGGGGGCTGGTACCATATGTCGATTGGGGCGCTGTTCAAAACCGACGATTTATGCACACAAACGGACAATATAAGGTGCTTTTAACGGCGATACATGCGCGAAATGAACAAAAAAGACACCCGCAACGGCCAATGGCACCAACAAAGCCACCACTTACTTTTAAAAAGGGCACTTGTTCAGAAAAAAAGGGCACTTGTTACAAAAATGGGCACTCTTTACAATATATTGAGGGGGGGGGGGTAAACGCTGTTGAAAAAAAAGGCATTTGAATAGAAAAGGGCAGTTTTTACAAAATATTAGGGGGGGTAAATACCCCCTTACCCCCCCCCCCCCCCGGTTACGCCTATAAGATAGCTCCCATTTTAAGCCATTGATTGGATCACCTCTGCACGTGCGCAGCATGATTACTTAGTTTATAAACGATATTCGCTTTGTATGTAGATGGCAATTGAACACACGGTTATCAAAAAAACTAACTCTCTCTTATTCTTACCGCAACCAGTTGGTGTCGCCAGTGTCTCAACGAAGGCAACTTTCAAACATTTTAACTGCTTAAGTTTCAAATACTGAAAAGTACTGCTCCCCTCAATAAACATGTAGTTAGAGGCACTTTCGAATGCAGCGAAAATCCGAAGCTCACCACCACAGAAATTGCACTTTCTAAGTCCTGTCGCTATTTTGCAATAGGTAGGTTCCACGCAAACATTATCGGTTTTATTTTGAATTCGGGGGTTGGGAATCAGACATTCAACAGAACATTTATTTCCAACTTCAACGGTGATAAAGATACAAGAATAATGCAATAAATTATGCAAACACTTAATGTAATGCTAAATGACTGTTACAAAAAGAAAGAGGATAAATACATAGGCCTATAGAAACAAATAAATAAATATAAATATGACAATAACGACATATGCAAGTTCTGCATATAATTTGCATACAGTAGGAGGGAAATCTCCTATTCATTCGGGATTCTTTGCTAGCCACCTGTCCCTAGTCCGAAGGACAATGGAGAGACCGGCAATTCGTCTAGACAGAAGTAGCCCATGTTCAATTTAATATGCCATATTCTTAAGCAAATGAGGCCGCTGTTATCAATGTCATATCACGTTTATTGGAACCCTGTAATTTCTAAGCTTTGATTTAAAAAAAAAGTAACGATGGTTGGGGGGGGGGGGGGCTGTGCCGGGTCCATTGGTTACGATGTTCAACTCGTGTGCCGTGGTAGGTGGGTTCGAATCCTGACAGGGAACATGCATGCTTGTGCGCTTCGGCAAGCCCCTTACTACGATTGCCTCTAGCTCTCTCCACCCAGGCTAGGAGTATTAATAGGTACCTGTGAATGAGAGACCATAATGCGCGGATCTCGTGCTGATGCAGGGTCTCACTCCTGATGAACAGGGATAATAATTGAGATGCGAATTTGATCAGATTCTTATGGAGTTTGCGCAATATAAATGTGTAAATTATTATTATTTGTATTATTTTTAAATGTGTGTTTTTAAGGTATAAACGTAAACCTTTCTCAATATTGCAATAATATGGGATTGATATCTGTTCACCTCCTAAAATAGAGTCGTTAAACGCCCCATTCGGTAAAAAAAAAATATGGCCTATTCTGGTAAACCATCTCTAAACAGTTCAAAAAATTGTAAGTAGCTGCTCATAAAAACAAGTTATGGTACAACTAATAGTTATTGGTCGTAAAATCGAAATAACAAATTAATATATATTTTATCGTGTTTTCCCTAACACGTACAGTAGGGGGGGGGGGGGTAAGTTTTATTTATCTCCAGTGAGATTCGAGCCCATCACGATTCCTGCTTTGTTGAATTGAGCACATTACATGTCTTAACCAATAGACCACCGAATGAACCGGCGACAATAGTTAAAGGTATAGTCCATCATTTGTAATTTGTGCATTTTGTTCGTTTGAAGCAACAAAAGAGTTCAAAATCTAATGAAGGATACTGAGCAACTAATTACCTGATGAAGTTTCAGCTAAGCTTCAGCTGTACATTCCGAGAAAAACAGCATTCTAAGATCTCAATTTCAAATCAAAAGTTGCTGAATCATGTTTTGAATTGTTTTGAATTGCAACCATACGCGACGTCGCGCACTGATCCGACGAATTATAACAACCGCGCGCGCGTGTGCGTCGTTCGAATACTTGTGCGCGCTTCGCTGAATAACAAAATGAACTACTAATTTAAATTTTCCTACGGTGCTTCTTAAGAATCACCGTTGGAAATGCCTTCTTTCGTTGATTACTTCAAAATGACAGCTTCCCAGAAAGAATAATTTCACAGGGAGTTTAGTCCCCTTACTATCTTTCAACCAAGTTAGTTTTTCAACAATAATTACGCCAGTTACTTCTCGGATGGCTGCAAATGATGGACTCTACCTTTAAGAGGCCATGTTACAATCCTTTGAAAGCCCAACTTTATTGTAGCGTGCATCATAACGGTTCACCATGACGGTTCACCATGCCATTTTGGCCAATAACTGTACAAACTACAGTTTGTGTTTAACTTGAAAGGCTCTTAATGAAAAAGCAAACAAAATACAATCCTTTTTAATTTTTTTGTATTCACTAATTCCGTTATTTTGCCGAAAAATCCATCGGTGATCCATCCAAACTAGTAATATTTAAAGGAAGTAAGTGACTCTCCTTCTTATATAATTTACAGCGGTGAATCGTTGTTACACTATGGTTTGGATGGGTTTTTCGTCCAAATAACGGAATGACGGGTATAAAAACAAATTGAACAAGATAACACGTTGTTTGTGCATCGTAATACGGCTTTACATTGAACACGATCTGTATTTTGTAAAAAATATCGGCCAAAATGACATGGTGAACCGTCATGGTGAATCGGGTAAATGCGTTAATCATGTTGTATATGAAACCAGCGCGCGAGCGTGTGTATTGTTATTTGAGCGCGTAATACGCGCAATGTCCAAATCCTAACATCAAGGCTATATTGTACATTCAGACAATCCCGGCCAAAATGGTTGGGACACTGAGCCTGCCACGGTCACCCACTCCCCCGCTCCCCCGGTCAATGTTGTTCTCTCCAGCTGATGGAGCACACACAGCGCTATGAGAGACAACATTGAACGGGGGCCGGGGGGTGGGGCACAGCGAGATTTGGCCGGGATTGTAGGTCATACATCCGTGTCGTAACCTGGAACGTTTGCACACTGTCAAAAGGTGGGATACAAATGGAAGCTCTCTCCCAAGAACCCCTGCACAACCGCATCAGCATTGCTGGAATAGAAAAAGCTTGCATTCCGGGAAACGGGACTCGCCGCGTTGACCAGGGGTGGTACTGATATCGCACAAACGTAGTGGCTTGCTTTCTTATGAAAACCGTGTCTAACTCTCTTGCGCGGGAGTACACTCTTGCGGGATTACAATAATTTTGCGGGAGTTCAATACTTGCGGGAGTACAATCTTGCAGTTGTCTATACATGCGCATTGTATACAATATTTCGAGTAGTATATGCGCCCGGCCGGGTGTGTTGCGTTTGTTTATGGTGTAAATCGAGGACACACACGTGCAACTTCATCGGTGAATCGCGGACAGGAACCATTTTTTTTTTCACTGGTTTTTCATAACCACACGAAAACAAAGGAATGTCCACACTAGGTATGTAAAATAAATATGCGTGTTTATGCCTGTGTATTATTTGCTGTGTGAATCAGTGTCTATAGGTTTTCCCCGTCAATTTCGGCAAATTGCTCGGCAAATAATAACCCTTTAATTTTGCATGTAAATACAATTTGCAAGAATGACTACCTACAATCCATAATGTTGGTTAAAAAGAAAAATCCAACACAATTTGGGAGACAAAATACACTTCCATATTCTATATCGTCGGCATGCACCACATAAATGAAAGGTTATTGTTCCCGTTGATTTGATGCCACATTTGTTGTTGTTATGCTTATAGTTCTGAAGATTTTAATATTCCATTTTCCAGCCGTGTCCACTTTTGTTTGGAATTGCCATTAAAAGACTTTTATTTCAAACACGGAGCTAGGTCACATTTTAAGCAATGATTCCTCTGTGAACCTGGTGAAATTTAAAGATTCAAAATAAACAATCTCTGCACATCAGAACTTATTACTTCTCATTCCTTTGGTATTCCTGGCATGTTACTATAATGAGCAAATCCACTTAAAATAGGCATGGTATACGAACACGTGTATGCATATGACTCAATCAACATAGAAAAAGCCACATCTCAAGAGATTCAAAGCCATTGAGTTTATCTACGTTGCAATATGTTCATTGTTAAGCCTTATTTTATGGTAAAATGCCTGTACTAATTACGCCAGCCGCTGAAAACATCTATTCATTTGCGCACGAGTTCTCATCGGCGTTCCCACCCACCTGTAAAAGAATGCCACACAACAGTGCTTATAAATGTGATAAATATAATGCCATTTTTCGACGTGTTGGCCCACGCACGTGCCGCTTACAATATCTCTGACCTTTTGGGAATAAAAAAGTTTCTTTTGACAAAGTGGCTCAATGCAACAGATAGAAAAGTAAACATAATCTCTATCCACTCACATCCGGTGGACAAAAGTCAAAAAAAAAGTTTGCTCTTTTTTTCAAGTTTTCAAAGTTGCGCAACTACACATTTCATATCTGTCTTATAGGCTGGAATTATTGTACTAGAACAAATGACCTATATCCCTGCACTAAAATTGTGGTTGATTTAGACAATACACAGGTACGTTATGTAGACACACACAAAAAGATTTGAAATTTCGACGGCTATGCCTACGTACATTTTCAAAGTGTATAAAAATCTACTATTTCTCTAGGATCGGACATTTATAGAGAAGAAGGCCTCCACTACGCATCTTGCGAACTTTTGTGGCACTATAGACAACCTTCACCGTATTACAGCAACGCTAATTCTTAGCTATACCATAATCATTTGGCTTTCGACTCATTAGTCAAAATGGCAATTTCGAGCAAGAAAGTTATTTGGACTGTCTTCGTGGCAGTGACATTACTATCCAGCGGCAGCCTGTGTTTCCCATCTTTGCAGTTTCTTTCGGAGGAGGCCGCTTTCGCCACCAAGACCATGCAAAGCGACACCACTAAACTAAGTCTTCATCTTATATCACCGAGGGACGCGGACATCTTGCCGTCTTATTCAGTCCGCGCACGCCCACGCGCGCACGGCAACTCGTCCTTGCCAACGCGCCAGCGCAGACAGGCTGCTGGCTGTCAACTCGTCGACAGAAGATATCAAATGCAGCTGGCTCTGTCGCCAACATCTGTCACGACCGTGCCCTACGGAACTCAAGATGGTGAGTAAAAGAATTATGAAACCACTTTTAAGTCCGAGGTTGACAGAAGTTAGACTGGTCCCCCCCCCCGACCCTCATAAAATAATGGGGACCGGTAGCTACAGTGGCGTAGCACGGTTATTTTCATTGGGGGGGGGGTATTTTTTTTTGTTTAAAGGGCACTTGCACATCCGTGCTGAAATGTAGACACGTTTTTAGACACTTTAGTATCGAAACAGAAAGAAAAAAATAATATAAATGGAATGGCAAACTTTGCGTTTTGATAAACTTTTACTCATTGAATTGGGTGGTGCTGCAAACGTTTCTCAACGGCAGCGGTCAAACCCGTAATGAATAAATTAACCTTAAGGAAACAACTTGTGGGCGAGTTGGCTGAACTAACTCCATAACGACTTTTCTGTACTCTTTATGCAAATAATTTGCTCATGTAACAATGTAAATGGAAACTGCATATTCAAATTTGCATAAAATGTATATTGTGACTGTTCTTTTTGCAGGGGAGGTCATAACTGCTGTTCATGTGATAAGCGCGAACAGGCCGGAACTCGTCCGTTTACGTTTCGGTGCCAGTCTATATTTGGCAACTGATGAGGCTGGAAATCCGTCAAGTTTCTCCGATACAGTGAGTGTCGAATCCCCACCCCCACCAAAAAAAAAATTACCAAAAGAAAAAATAAAAAAGGAACGTTTTTCTCATTAGGGTCACTTTAAACGCCAAGGCTTATGTGCATGAACCGTATTATAGGACGCTGTGTGCGAACTGCTCGTGCAATTAGTGATTAACACTGGGTCATGGAGAATTTAATGTACCATGAAACTTTCCTCCAGATCCTCAAGTAGACCTATCAATGTTCCATTCCTTAAAAAAAAATGTATTCCCATAGTTGCAAATGTCAACATCAAATTTGTTTGTGTTTTTTTTTAACCAGTATAGCGTATACCTTATAGGGGCCAACATTGATTCATCATTATTCAGCGCAAACAAAGGCCGAGGTCGTTGGTACCTAAACTTATTAGTTCACAGAGTTTAAAATAGATACTACTATTAACATCGACGAATATGGAAACAGCCACTGAGCCACTACCAAACCCAAATAAAGATGTCTTCCTCTTCAAAGCTGACATCTCAGTTTGAGCAAACAAGTGGCAAAACAAAAATGGCGGCCATACAAAATGGCGGCTGCCAATTAAAATAATGATAGCTCTCACATATAATTGTCCTTTTTGCTTACAAGATTTCATTTTTAGAATCTTACTTTCGTTTATAAAAGAAAGTTCTGTATCACACAACTTATTAAACACAAGTTCAGTTATAAACAAAGTTTTCGTTTCTAATTTTGCACGTTATTTCTTCCCCAAACAGCCTAATATTACACACATCAGTACGCAAGACCGCACGCTCTGGTGCCAGCGAACGTTTGGTGTCCGCGGGGAGCAGTTCAGTCCATTCAGTGACAGCAGCGTCACTGACAGCTGCAGTTACGACAGATTCTTAGCTGTGATAGAAGAGACGGGAACCAGCGGCGTGTATACAGTCGGGTTCTCAAATCACAGTAGAAGGAACACTTACTTCCGGAAACCATGTTAACAGACCTTATTAAACCCTTCACCCTTCCAATTTTAAGTAAGGTATTTAAATTGTCATGTCCGTGCCTTCTGATGGTTGACGTTTCCAATTATCTAAGAGTGGTTTGGAAACTGTACGGTGTGTCTGACAGACATCTGCAGACGTGAGGTTTATATAGTTGTATTATTTAATTATTAAATTATGCATTGTTTGTATTATTAAAGAAATTGACTGGAGTGGGGTTTGAACCCGCGACATCCAGATCGCAGTTCTGGTAAGCCTACTCCACCACCTAAGTTATCTTGCTCTATGTTGGCGGCTCCCCATTTTGTCAATGTTCAAGACTTTATTTTAAAATACAGCTATAGTAGGGCCATAGGCCTACTCACATCATATGCCTCCAAACGCGAAAGTTTAATTTTTGTATTCTTGTCCCGCAGGGAATGCAAAAAATATAGGTTTCACTGTAAAATTTCGCAACTTGTTCATTCTATCAGAAGTTGTGCATTCCATTTCAGTAGAACCGTTTAGAAAGTGTGTGCTTATCAGTTTGTTTCTGCATTTAATAGGGGACGTTGAACAATAGGGGACAATAGGGTCCCCAATTCAGAATCGTGTAGATTCAGAATTGTACCACATTTTCAATTATTTCCAAACAAATAATACGGGGTGTCGGGGCAGGGAAGGGGGGGGGGTTCGCATTTTTTTCATGAATTTCTTTGGAAACTTGGTTTGTTGTTTTTGACAAGAGCTCCCCCCCCCCCTGCTTCGTATTTTTTAACACCAGAAAAATAATCCATGCACATGTCGCAAATTAATAAGTCCATCACACAAGGTATTAAATTTGTGAGACATAAACAATGGTTTATTTATTATTAAAGGAAAAAAATCCAATCCACCCAGTCGAAGATTCAAGCTTATTATTTTTGTGTGTTCTCCGAGTAACAGTACGCACTTCGTAAATGGTGCCGGAATTAACAATGTATTTTTAAAGACACTTAGAAAGTACTGAAGAAAGCTCACAATACAAGCCTCTCCGTGATGCTAGGTATGGGGTCATTCAGCAGGGGTAATTAGTAGCAGGGGTTCTCTGCGTGGTTCCTCCATTTTGACAAAATTAACTAGTTCCGTAATTTCTGGCTACAGCAACTTTATTATGCTCAAACAAAATAAAACTATCCCTTCATATAGTGATAAACCGTGAATAGATTTTTTATACTTTACAAGAAAGACTACAGAAAACCCTACAGATAACAGGTAAACCGTGCTGAACGAATTAAAACTCTTTTAAAAGTGAGAATTTTAAAATGGGGAAAAAGCCAATGTTCAATAAAGAAATTTAGAATTTTCTGACAAAACAAAGTCCCCAAATCGGTTAAAATCCACTTCTAGGGTCTTAATGATTTCAATGGATTCAGAGCTACAGTCGAGGTGGCCTGGCGGTTTAACTGCACTACGATTTGGGCAACATTGCAGGATGATTCCTAGGATTAATCAACAAAAATTCACTTGGAAAGAATGGTGATTTAATGACAACTGAACTCAATCAATTTCTCAAAAAAATAAATAAACACATCTCTTATGTAATTCTTTATAACAGCACCTAATTCGTTTTAAAGAGATTCTCAATTTTGGCCATATTTACAAGACAATTTTGGTTGGGCACAAGTATTTCCTATTTATAATTTTTCTTCGTACAATTAGAACCCAGTCTCACTGACATGATCACCTGTAGGTGCAATAACCTTAAACAGCACATGGGAGAACCAGACTCATCAGTGACTCTGCCCATGGCTAGGAGAATCTCTCCATAACAATGTTATAAAGGTAATAAGGCTATGGGATTTCTGCATGAGCAGTGAATCACATTGTGATTACCCAATACAGCTCCAGCACCAGGATACTTCATTTTAAACACAATAAGGCATGTAGTTCAGAATACACAACCAATTTCCAACCCATTTTATCACCAACTATTTGGAATTGACAGAATATAAGCATTTCATTAAAAGTGCGCAAACACACAGCTGTAGAATATTCTCCAGGATAGTCCCTGACACATTCTAAACTTTATAAAGGTTGATTTAGCACAGCTAACCCTGTGAAATCAAACCCTGCAATTTGGAAACAAAATAGACCACATTCAATAGCAAAGAACAATCAATGGAGTATAGAGTATACATCCACCAGGGTCAGTTTTAGACTTCCATTTTGTTTTGGACTGAAGAAAAAAAACTTGAAATGAACCTGGACATCAGCACGTGTACTTGTTATAAATCAAGTGATTGAAAAATATTTGAACAGAAATCAACAAGTAAATTCCACCCATCACCCAAAAACTGAGACGATTTGGTAGTTTTCTTGGATCATTGCTTATAAGGTTCTTAGAGTTGTTGACAATTTCTTGCAAGCAATCTTGGCTCTGATTTTAAGCTTAAACCTATTGTTAATACACCTGCCAGTCTAAGTGATTTTGTACTGTAATTTTTCCTAGCAATTTACTTTTATGGTTGCTCTATTGAAAATAATTGCCTTTTTCACTGAACTTTCCAATAAGGACCTCAAAGTACTGAGACAACTTTGTATCAATTGTTTTATTTTTTTTTTTATTTCCCCCCTCCAGTTGAAAGCATAAATACAAATTTTAGGGTCAGGACCATAAAAATAGGGTAGGTTAAACCAGAACCAGATGTATTTTTTTTTTTTTGGCCTTAATTCTGTTGTTACAACATCTTTCAAATAAATTACTTTCAACCATCATGGCTCTTAATCTGCATAGAAACAGGGTCGTTAAGAATCATAGATTGGTTTACCCCATTTAATGTATCATAATCTATCTCTCAACCGGGTTTAAGCTCTAAGCATAGTAACAGGGCGACACTAGTAGATTGGTTAGCACAACCAGCTGGTCATCTGTAAACTGCTGCTTATGCTCATGCCAGTTGTCGTGGTGGGTCCTCCTGAAGTCAGAGAGGGTCTTGCGCACAGTCATCTGAAAAATGGGGAAAAGGAGTAGACAAAAACATTTTCACACTTGTATAGTGGAATCTGGCGACCAGGAATAGAAGCTTTTGCTGCGGTGGTGTCACGCTCACGCACACACTGCACATGTTCTTAAAAGCGAGGCACATGTACTTTTTGGTATTCTTATTGGTCGTAGGAACCCGGAGTGCGTGTGTACTACTAGAGCACCACTCCGTCAGCTTGGTGCCACCGCAGAAAGTGGCTGCCACCGAAGTTGTTTATAATTCCAACTTATAAATATAAAGCCATGAGGGTGCATATATATTGGGGGTCCTGATATATTTTCAATTCTTTCGGTCAATGTCTCTATGGGTTGGTAATTTGTATGTGTATAATATTTGTATGTGTATATAATGTGTGTATTTTTTGGATACTTTTATATTTTTTGGATTGTGCGTATATTAAGTTTTTCTATTTTACTATTTTTATCTTTGACATTTTTATTCCTTGTATCGACTTTTTCAAACATTTTAACGTTACAGTTACTTTTTTTTTTTTTATATATAATGCTATAGTATTAGTTTATTTTTTAAACTTGTAAAGCGCCTTGAGCGTCTTTTTTAGACGGATTTTGGCGCTATATAAATGTTCTCTATTATTATTATTATTATGAGAGGGATTTTTTAATAAAATGTGTGCCGTGAAGATTCCACCTCAAGATGGATTTCCTTTATAACATGGAGTCTCTTTCACCAACAGTTTTGCCACCCGCAATTAACCCTTTAGCACTAACATGAAATTGTATTACATTGTATTTACTCCTCCATAAACCAATAAGACCATAGAGTGCTGGGGCAGTTTGAGGAGTAAAATGGCCGGGCCGTTGCGAGCACGTTCAGTGCTAATGGGTTACAGTTGGAATTGCAACTGCGAGTATAAATTTCAACTTGACTAGACGTTTTGAGTTCTTTTAAAATGCAGAGATGCCACAAATCTATCAATAAAAAGCCTGAAACACTACTAAAAAAAACCCTGAAACTACCCTTACCCCCTTTCAAAAATGTGTTTTCTGGATGTTTCAGACCAAATCTAGCTCTTTTAATTTGTCACATTTTTGAAAGAAAAACCTGAATTCAGGTTAAAACCTGAAAAGTGGCATCTCTGAAAATGGCTGCTACTGTTGATGACTTTCCAGTGCAGGTGCTCCAAACTATTCATATGCCACACTTAAGTTATATCGTGGGAATAATTGGGCTCAACATGACTCCGGACTGCCAGTCTTACAGGGTGCTACTTCTATTGATTTGGGTGGTGACTGACCTCTATAGGTTGAGGGTCGTGTAGGTGATCCGTGAGATCCATGAGAACCCCTGGCATCCACTCTGGCACATCGTAGGGGTAGGCCTGGACACAGGCACTCAGGCCGATAATGCCGGCATGACGCTGCACCACCGAGGCTGAAAACTCTGGAGATTGCAAAAAGAATCAAATTTACTTAAACCCTATAATGTACGTTTTCGCATAATTGCACCTTTTCCTACGTGCCTATTAAAGCTATAGTCCATCATTTGCAACCATCCGAAAAAGTAACTGGCGTATTATTGTTGAAAAACATACTTGGTTGCTTAGTAAGAGAACTAAACTCCCTGTGAAATTAATCTTTCTGGCAAGCTATCATTTTGAAGTAATCAACGAAAGAAGGAAACTTTAAATTAGTAGTTTGTTTTGTTATTCGGCGCAGCACGCGCAAGCATTGGCACGACGCACAGGCGCGCGCGGTTGCTATAATTCGTCGGATCAGTGCGCGACATCGCATATAGCTGCAATTCAAACAATTCAAAACATGATTTAGCAACTTTTGATTTGAAATTGCGATCCTAGAATGCTGTTTTTCTCGGAATATACAGCTGAAGCTGAACTGAAACTTCATCAGGTTAGTTGCTCAGTATCCTTCATTAGATTTTGAACACTTTTGTTGCTTCAAACGAACAAAATGCACAAATTACAAATGATGGACTATATCTTTAACTGTATTCTGAAAAAGTGCTCTTGCTATCACGCTTTGGGATATACACCGTTTTATTGATAAATGCTGTTCAACTTACCATCATTGTTGAAGTCACTTTGCAGTCGGACTTTCTTGGTGGGCAGTCTGGTCTTACACAGGATCTCGAAGTGGCTCTGCAGCTTGGGCTCAATGGAGAAGACCCCACAGTGAAGCAGACCACTCAGGGTGGTACCTGCCATCTCTCTCACCTATTAAAGAGACACAGGGGAACAATCACAAGAATGGCATATGGCACGGGGATCAAGACCATTCCAAAGCTTTCAAAAGCCTGTGGCTAAGCACAGATATTATTTGCTTAACATATGTTACCAGCCAACTGTCATGCAATGTGTATCCCTTGTCACTGGCTCTCACGTGATTCATCAATTTTCTTAGCAATAATTTCCACTTAGAAGCTCCTTAAAATTGACCACCGAATTTGTTAAAATTCAACTAATAAGTAAATGAATCATGTATGATTCTTTGGTTTAGCTTGAAATAAATATGTGGGGGTTCTGGCGTAAGATGACAAAACTTGGCAGAGGTCGAAATGAGGGTTTGTGGTTATTATGAAAGGGAATACAATTCCATTTACAATACTGTTTATTGCACTTCAATCTGAAATTCCATGGACATGTGTGGCTGTTTAAAGGTTTTTTATGGCTGTTTGCATTTATTGATGTGTCAACAAAGTAAAATACCAAGAAATTTAGAGTTTCACCTGTTGTATTCGTGAAAATGAAAGATGCCCATTATTTATCGATAATAACACTTTTATTAAACCATTTTTATACTTTTTCTTTCGACTTTGTGTAGTAGATATATCAAAGATTACAAACATCATTAAATGTGAAAATTGAAAACAAAAGTTGCCCCTATTTGTTTGTTTGTTTGTTTTTTTTTTGGGGGGGGGGGGGGCATTTTTCTCCTCTATTTTGCCAGAACGCCTCACATATTTTCAAGCTGAAAATCTGGTGCATCTATTCAGAAATCTGCTGTAGGGCAAAACGTGTTTCTGCCAACTCAAAATTATCAGTTACAACTGTAGCCAAGTTCATAAACAGGTTTTAGCCTGAAATGATAGTTTCTTTGGCAAAAAAATGTTTACCTGCTTCTTGTATTCCCAAAGGGGTGCCAACTGTACTTTTCCAAGATCTTTTCTTGAATGCCAAACTTTGAGAAGTTTTTGAAACCACGGCTTCATGAGATTTCAGGGCTCTGACCAATGAGACTCCAGCTAACTATGGAGTCCTAATCCTTCAGTGTTATACCAGAGTTGAAAGTATTCTTCTATAGTCTTCTATAATAGTCTTCTATAAAGCCAAAGTTGGAGACAGAGCCACGATTTTACTTATCCCCCATACCCTGACATCAGTGCGCACTTGCCAGGGCAACAGAAGCTGCTGTTTAAATCTAAGCCAGTACACACCTCGAGTCGGTCGTCTTTCAGGAGATCCAACACCAGCTGATGTATAGTAGCTACAGACTCGGATTGACTGCTGACAGTGAAGAGGTTGTAGTAGACCATGACTTGGAGGTAGGCTAGGAGGCTGACTTTAGCTCTCCATGAGGTTCCCTGGGAAATCTGAACAAACAAAAAATGACAAGACAGAGAAAAAGTTTCTCAGGGACACTGCTTGCATTCATAATTGTTAATAATTGTTTGCATCTCACCACTTACAATTCTGGAGTTCTGCCTACAAATGTTTTAATGGAGAAAAGACTTATACTACAAGAACTTAAGTCAAACCAACACTAAGACTTTATGACCCTCGCAAGGATCTGCCATGAAACACCTTTTCAGTATAACCTGTTTTGATTGAACACTACTTGATCAGCTCTTGGCTGGGTGAAACAAAGATACCATTCCAAGGATTACCACAGTACCTCAAGAACCTACAGATTTAAAGCCTCAAGACCCTCAGATGATTGTTCAAAATCCTCAGAATTCTAACCTGGTGCAATGAGTGGAGCACCAATGCGAAAACGCCTCGTAAGGTTTCGAATTGTATTACCTATCTAGACTCAATGCCTCAAGCACTTCAACACTTCAAAAAGCTTCATACATGTAACACTTAGGAGGTTTATACCCCAACCTCAAATTCTCATCTATAATTATGCAAGAAGTTTTAGTGTTACACAAGCTGGCTGAGGCTATGACTCTGCTCTTAAAATCATGCAGACCCAACCACTGCAATATTTCAAACCTCATCAGAATCAGGAGGTTACATCTCCACAGTTCAAACCTTTTGCAATGAAAGGAGACTTAACTGGCACACACTGTTTGACAAGGATTTCGAAGTGTACCTGTCCAGACTTAAAAACCTCAAACGCCTGACCACCTCAATCCTCATGAGGTTCTATACCATGTACCATTAGGAGGTCTAACCTGTTGTAGTGAGTGGAGAACTATTGGCACCACTTCTGGTTTGAGCAGGGTCTTTGCCATAGCAGCCATCCAGAATCGGCTCAGTTGACTCAGCTCCTCGTCGCTTTCGTAACTCTCAAGAGGTGCCACCTATAAAAAAAGGAAATTGAAAAAGGGTTGTGGTTCAAAAATGGTTCATACGCAATAAAGTTCCAGATGCAAGCAACAAGGAAGTCAAAAGGAAGCAGTGCTGTAGGCTCTTTAATGTACTGCATTTACGCTAATCAGATATATTAAAGCCAGAGTCCATCATTTGCAGCTATCCAAAAAGTAACTGGCATAATTATTGTTGAAAAACATATTTGGTTGAAACATAGTAAGGGGACTAAACTTCCTGTGAAATAATTCTTTCTGGCAAGCTGTCATTTTAAAGAAATCAACAAAAGAAGGCATTTCCAACGGTGCTTCTAAAGAAGCATCGTAGGAAATTCAAATTAGTAGTTCGTTTTGTTATTCGGCGAAGCGCGCACAAGCGTTGGCACGATGCACACACGCGGGCGGTTGCTATAATTCGTCGGATCAGTGCGCGACATGGCGTAGCTGCAATCGGCTCAGTGAGAATGTGTCTCGGACGCTGAATTCATGCCCAATTGAAAACATGATTCAGCAACATTTGATTTGAAATCGAGATCCTAGAATGTTGTTTTTCTCGAAATATACAGCTAACGCTGAGCTGAAACTTCATCAGGTTAGTTGTTCAGCACCCTTCTTTAGATCTTGAGCACTTTTGTTGCTTCAAACGAACAAAATGCACAAATTGCAAATGATGGACTATACCTTTAAGCACAATAAATTGCTACTTTAGTACAAACCATAGTATCATTTCCACATACCAACGGAAGAAGCTTGTATACTCCTGGTGCTGTTGGTGCAAAGAGCCGGCTTAGGGTACATTTCATTACTGCATAGAATAAAAAAAAATATATGGAAAACAGTTTAAGACTTACTCCAGCAAAAAACAAAAACAAAAAAAAAAACATTAACAGGAGCCAAAGAAGCTACCTGTGACATAAGAATGGGTAATATCTTGCAGAACTAGGGTTGAGATTTGAAGGTTTGCATGGTGGAAAGATACTAAGACAAGATAAGTTTGTGGTAGCACCATGTGAATAAATCTCTTTTGTGAGTATGTGCGGTTCTGAAAAGAACCGGAGAGACTCACTGTTTCGAACAGTATGTTCTGCCCGTCGTCAGGAGAACAAGGGTTGTTATTGGACATTTTGCAGGAAGTCCTTCTTATGTCTAAAGTTGATTCAGAGGTATAAAATGAGGCAGAAAGTTGGCATCATTTTGGTATTTTGCTAGGTAGAGCCAGAGTGTTTATTTTGTTCACTCGGGTTTTACGGCGCATCTCGATTACTATCCAGGACGAGTTCCAGACAAGTTGCGAGTAGAAACATTCCGTTGTCCGGAAGAAGCTCCGCATTTGTCCTGGACATGTGCCACACAAGTTTTCATGAGCAACTGCTTCACTCACCAACACAGACAACTTCATTGCGGGAAGATTGCAGGGAAGTTGTTCAAAATCCCGCAACTTATATACCCGCTTCAATGTCCGGCACTTGTCCAGAACTTGTACCAGATATGAATTGAGATGGGCCCTTAAGACTTTCAGAGCAATAATGTGCATGTTTCCAGTTGTGAATAATGACAGGAGTTCAAGATGATGAGAGAAATATCAAATCAAAAACCTGTTACATTGTACATCTCCTCTCATTGTTCACTTGAATTTTTTATCTAATCATGCATGATTCCCACTGATGCAGACAATGTTAAAGCCAGAGTCCATCATTTGCAGCTATTCAAAAAGTAACTGGCGTAATTATTGTTGAATATTTTACTTGGTTGAAATAAACCCCCTGTGAAATTATTCTTTCTGGCAAGCTGTCATTTTGAAGAAATCAACAAAAGAAGGCCTTTCCAATGGTGCTTCTTAAGAAGCACTGTAGGAAATTCAAATTAGTAGCTTGTTTTATTTGGTGAAGCGCGCGCAAGCATGAGCACGATGCACACGCACGCGCAGTTGCTATAATTCGTCGGATCATTGCGTGACATCATGTAGCTGCAATCGGCTCAGTGAAAAAGTGTCTCGGATGCTGAATTCAGGCCCAATTCAAAACATGATTCAGCAACTTTTGATTTGAAATCAAGATCCTAGAATGTTGTTTGTCTCGAAATATACAGCTAAAACTGAGCTGAAACTTCATCAGGTTAGTTGTTCAGCACCCTTCTTTAGATCTTGAGCACTTTTGTTGCTTCAAACGAACAAAATGCACAAATTACAAATGATGGACTATACCTTTAAGTGTCTGAAACAGGTTTCTAACTGTGAGTGATTACTCATTTTGTAATCGAGGCTGCTGCATTTGTTATAATTCATCTAGAAAACTGACAACGATAAACACCTGTTTTACAAGTTCTGATCGCCTCCTCCTTTTCTCTTGTGTCTTGGTCGTTCAGAGAGGTCACTGCATGGTTGACACTCTCAAGTGACTGAAAAGGGTCCAGATCTTGTAGGGGGGCCAGCTGAGGAAGGACGCGGTCCAGAAAGGCCTCCGAGCGGGGGGATGAGGGGGAACCATTCGGCAGAGCACAGTCGTACAAGAACACATTGCTCAAGGAGCTGCGGGTACCAGCATACAAATGGAACAACATGCCAGTAGCATTCAGAACAATTAAAAGGATACTGCAGTTAAGCGTTATTTTATTCTGTCACCCTTTTTTTTTTTTTGGTAATAAAATTTATATATAAAGGGAATATTCAACATTTGCAAACATCCAAAAAACAAAACTACCAAACTATTATCAAATTTCTAAATGGACTGTCAGCGAATGACAGTTTAAAGCATCCTGTAAAATCATGGCACCTGGTGTGCTATCATTTTCAAGACAGGTGGTACTTTTTGTAGTAATTTTCAACGCTGATTGGCCAACCAGCGGTGGAAAAAACTGGCTGTTTCAAATACTACCCCTAATTACCATATTTAGTTAGTCCAAACTTGTTTGCAATAGATTACAAACCTATGAACAGATACAAGCCAGCCAGACTGGTTCCCTGACCTCACAATTCATAGACATATATAAATTGCTCTGTTTCATCTTCAGTGGGGTCAGGGAACCAGACTACAGGAAAATGATTGTTTTTCTTACTTTTTCCAGCATCTACAAATACGATACTTCAAACAAGTCACTGTAACAATATTTGCTATAAAATTCTAACCCCCACAATCCATCAATTTCTGAAAATTACAGAAAAACTAAATGCTGTATATTCCCTTTAATTAACAAAACCCAATAAATTCCACATCAACTCCCCCCACAAATTACCAACCCATTCACTATCCAACCCGACTAACTTAGAACTATTTACTTTTTCTCAATGCTTCCCTTTTTTTGAGGGGCTGGAGGGATGTGATAAATGCCCAACCAAGGGTTTAACTACCAATGCCTGGTGCAATCCCACCCATCCATTGTGTGTGTCTCTCTATTTGATGATATCTCACAGGAAAGAATTCCATACAAGGCCACCACTCAGACCTGCACAAAGTCTATGGGCCATTACAGAAAAAGTTAAAGTATTATCAGAGAATTTTTGCACTCCTAGTGTTTCTTCATCAGATTTACAACTTTGGGTATTTTACAGGTCGTATTAAGGAGAAGGAGTGGTGGTATGGTATGGAATTCTGTCCATATCCCAAACCAAAGGGATTGCCACAGACAGTGGCAAGTGTGTGGTAAAGGTGTTTTAAGGTAAAGCATCGGGTGTGGTTGTAAGGGGGAAGTGATTACAGATTGTCACCATTTGATGGATTCAGCCACAGCAGTGCCTACCTGCCAATTTGATTTCTGACATTCTTGTAGCTGTGTGCCAGATTTTTCTCCAGATGGTCTAGCAGTCGATCCAAGAGCTCAGGTATTCGCCATTCCTGCTGGGCTAGACTGCCTTGTAGTATCAACAACCAACTGAGCAGAAACAAATACAATTATTTACAAAACCAAGAAGTCATATGAACTGCTCGCAAAAAGATATTGCAATTTTCTGATGTTGGGTAAAATTAATCTTTCCGTTAAATCAAATTTCATTTGTTTATTTATTAATTTTTATTATAATTTGTATCTTTCTGCAAAAGCTTCTTTCCCATGGACAACTTTGGAAGAAATTAAAGTGTTTATAATTCATGAATGGTGCCACGATATGAAGTTTAAAAATTGAGAAAGCTAAACTTTGAAGTTTAGATTCGAAAGACACAAAAACTAACATTGAGAATTAACTGTATTTGTAGCAAAGGCCTCACAGAGGCTCACGATCCTCGTAAGCTCTGTACAGTTACAATGAGGCTGTTAACAGTGGTATAGACTGTAACAGGCAGGGCGATTTGGGGTTGTACAGGGACTGATTTGGTTCAAAGATGAACATGTGAATTGAGTACCTTGCTTCAAGGAAAGACCCGCCTTCCACGAATGTCGGGAATTCCATGAAGGCCTCCAGGAGCCACTGCAGCTTGCGTGGGTCTCTACTCTCACACATGGTGGAGATGCAGGTGGTCCAGTCGCTGCGGGTTTCTATGGTCACTAGAGAGATGGCAGTCCTCAAAACGGGCACCAGGAACTCCCAGAGTTGCGCCGTCTGGCAAAAACAAGATGAAAGAAGCATTACTAAAGGCGGGTTCATACTCGGCATACACGTAAATGTAAGCACGGAATTGTGCATCACATCAAATTTGCACCTTGCAAATTTGTAAACGTTCAACACATTCATGTTTTGTGTCCTCAAATATGTTCTGCATTCACATTCGTGTTCAGTATGGACCAGCCTCAAAGATTGTTAGTAAATCCTCTTTATTCCCAATCATCATCATCCTTCGGCCACGGCCAAGATCGAATTCACAATGTCTTTTCAGGCATCTCTGTCAGTCATCAGGCAGGTTAAGTTATCTTCTTCTTGCTGAGTGTGACTGCTAACAGCATCCAAATAGTTCATTGGTCTTCTTCCTCTGTTGTAACAGGGGAGAATGGTTCTGAAAAGAACCAGAGGTATAAACTCTGGTTCAAGAACCAGAGTTTGTACCAGCTGGTTCTTTTCAGAACCATTCTCTTAGTTGAGAAATTATTCGCTCCTGGTGTTTCCGCAAACCTTTCATTATTTAGTATCTCCACCATGCAAAGCTTACTTACAGGTAAAGCCTGTGAGTTGTTTTATTATGAGTGCCAATGGAAATTTAGAATGGTCTCAAAACTATTGTTCATCTTGTCTGTCTTGAGCCCACCTTGGTGAAGCCCCAGTGCTTGCTACCCCTGCTCAGCCCAGCTACTATCTCAGCCAGACATCGCTGCTCGCTCTCCTGCTTGCTCTGGGCCAGCCGGCTAAGGTGGGGTTTGAAGACTGGGAGAAAGGTGTCGCCAAAATTACGAAACAGACCCTGCAACCAAACACGGTAAATAATACAACCAATGTAAATGAATCCAATTTTGAAAACATTTGAACATATCTAAAAGAGCTTAAATAGTTCCATCCATTTTCACATGGGATTCCTATTGAAGTCGAAAGTATGTCCCCCAAAAAGTGTCTGGCTGACTATTTTTGAAGTAACTACAAAACCATTAAGTCAATTTTGAAATGTTTGAATTGTGATGCTCCTAATATCCTCGGCATAAACCCGATGAGTTTCATTTAATTTCAGTCAAGCATCACTGCACAATGGTCAATTGATCACAACAATATTTTTGGACACTGTGACCAAGTTCCATGACTTAATCAATTTAAGTGCTGTGTTATGTAATCTGTGTAAAATCATGCACGTTGTGAAAAGGGCTGAGTTAGGATTGGAATCATTTACCTGGCTATCAGTCATCATGGCAAGACATCAGTTTAATGCTCAATGGCAACTCCCAAAACCACATCAGCCTTTTTTCACAACATGCAGGATTTTACACAGCTTACATAACACAGCACCGAAATTGATTAAGGCAAGGAACTTGATCACAGTGTCCAAAAATGTTGTTGTGATCAATTGAACATTGTGCCGTGATGCGCGACTGAAATTAAATGAAACTCATAGGGGTTTAGGCCAAAGATAAGGGGTATGTGCACAATCAAAAAAATTCAAGATTAACTTCATGGTTTTGTAGTTATTTCAAAAATTGTCAGACAGACACTTTTTCTGGGACGTACTGTATATGGAGTCAGTTGGAAAAAGTTGATTCCGTATTCATTGTGGTTTAATTAGAATGTTTCTATTCCTGCTTAAAACTATGCATGTGGAAAAAATACATTTCTCTAGCCAAAATTTCACACGTGGTAGGTCTAGTCAGCTTATCAGCTTATTTTCTTTTTGAGAAAGTTAATTTATGCCTGGCATATTCCCTAAGTGAGACAAATAATTCAGTTGGTAAAAACATTGAGAGTTTTGTTACAATAAGCTGTGAAACTGGGTTTATAAGCCCCATGGCATAACGACATACATGTAACATTCTTTTTAGTTGTTCAAAAAAGACAAAGGTGTTGGCATATTGTGTTAATCATGTGACATACAGGTTCTATACCGGTAGGCATATCACATCTTGTTATTCAAATTTAAAGGCTCAAGTGTAATAAAACTCCAGATACTCCATGCCATTTATATTTATCTTGCAATATGACTTCATTCTGTTATAGAGTTGGACACTGAAAAGTATGATCTGACATTAGACACTGAATTCAGCATACAGAGTGTGCCAAAAAGTGCAACATTCAGAAAACAATTATTAATACTGTTGAATAGTTTTTTTTCTTCAATGAAATTATAATACATTAAAGCCTGACTATTTCTCAATCCACTTATTTTTACCCTGTTCCATTTGGGTCCCTCAATCCAGAAATACAATCAATTAAAGGGAATGTACATCATTGGCGGTTGTTGTAATTTTCAGAAATGAACTATTTGAGGGGTTAGTATAATAGATCAAATATTGTTACACTGACATGTTTGAAGTTTTGTGTTCGAAAATGCTGGAAAAACTAAGAAAAACAAAAATCTTCGAGGAGTCTGGTTCCCTGACTCCACTAAAGATGAAATGGATCAATTTATTGATGCCAGAAATTTGTAAGGTAATGGAACCGCTCTAGTGCCTGCACCCCTTCATGAACATGTAACCAATAGCAAACAAAATTTGGACTGAACAAAAATGGTAAATTGGAGCAGTAGTTGAGAAATAGTCAGGTTTTTCTACGGTGGTTGGCCGACCACCGTTGGAAATTTATACAAAATACCAATTTTCTTGAAAATGACTTCACACCTGGTGCCACAATTTTACAGGATGCTTTAAACTGTCGTTTAACAACATCCTAGTAAGGTTTTTCGTAAAAAAAAAGGGTGGTTTTGTTTTCCGATGTTTGCAAATGTTGTATATTCCCCAGAAGTGAAAGGGTGTAAATTGTACTTTGGCCACTCTCACCTGGACATGCTGAATCTGGGTTAAGCATTGAATATGCATTGAATAGGCACTGAAGTTGGTGACATCACAGGTGAGAGTGGCCCAAGTAAAATGTACACCCTTTCACTTAATCGATTGTATTTCTGGATCTAGAAACCCAAATGGAATTGGGTAAAAAGGATTGAGAAATAGTCAGGCTTTACTGTGATATGTAATTTCATTGAAGAATAAAAACATTAAACAGTTTTAATTATTTGTTTTCTTCATGTTGCACTTTGTTTGGCACACTCTGTCGTCAATGTTTAAAGAGGTTGTGGAATGCTCGAAGACATTTCCGTCATTTTTCGGGTATATGTAGCCTAAGGTGTGATGAAATAAAAACGACTATTGTGTCTGTAATGAAATTAGTACAAAAGGTACTTTTGAGAGCTGTTTTTCAGGTCCTGTTTCGACCCGAACGTGCAATTTGTGTAAAAGTCGTCGTTGGGGGCAGCAAACAAAACATAGCAAATCGTGACGTAATAAACAGGACTCCCGATGCAGCGTAGTATAAACGAGTCCCGTTTATAACGTCACGATTTACTATGTTTTGTTTGCTGCCCCCAACGACGACTTTTACACAAATTGCACGTTTGGGTCGAAACAGGACCTGAAAAATAGCTCTCAAAAGTACCTTTTGTACTCATTTCATGACAGACACAATAGTCGTTTTTATTTCATCACACCTTAGGCTACATATACCCCCAAAATGACGGGAATGTCTTCGAGCATTCCACAACCTCTTTAAAGTATTATCATTCATGGTTTGAACACAATAGGTTCTATTTGTTATACCAAGACAGAGAATGAAGCCGAGGCTGGAGAATAAAGCCAGCGTTTGGTAAACACCTAAGAGATCAGGAGTGAGTTCATTAGTCTGGCTACCTTGAACAGGATGAATCTCTTTGCGCTGAATTTGTCTTTGCCTTTCCGATCCTCCAAGGACAGGAACCGGACCAGCTTCTCAACAAAGTCTTCATTGGAGAAACAGTCATAGATAACCTTCTCATTCTGCATGAGAAAAAAAAAGAATACAATACAACAAAACTTGTGTGATTGCCAGTAATGAAGCAGCAAATTCTCTGACATGTTTTAACTCTCCAATTTCGGAATAAGCTGACTTAGTTAGAATTAAAACAATGCAATATTCAGGTCCAGCCAATATGAGCTCAAAGGCTTGCCCTTTCATTTCACCAGGTAAACACTTTTTATGTAGCTGGTATACCATTACTTAGCTGAGACTTTGACGTTTTTAAAGGAAGGGTAGATCATTTGTCATTTGTGCATTTGTGCAACAAAAGTGCCCAAAATCTAAAGACAGGTGCTTAACAACTAACCTGATGAAGTTTAAGCTCTGCGAATGCTGTATATTCTGAGAAAACAATATTCCAGGATCTCAATTTCAATTCAAAAGTTCTCGAGTCATGTTTTGAATTGCGCCCGAAATAAGCATCCGGGACATGCTCTCATTCTGCTGATTGCAGCTATACAATGTCACGCACTGAATCTACGAGTAAAAGCAACTGCGCGCGTGTGCGACGTGTCAATGCTTGAGTGCACCCTTTCACGGATTCGCCGAATTACAAACCATCTACTAACGTTCAAAAATTTGTCACTTGATACATCTTAGGAAATTGCCTTCTTTTATTGGTTGCTTCAAAATGACAGCATTCCAGAAGGAAGAATTTCACAGGGAGTTTAGTGCCGTTACTATCTTTAAACCAAGTAAGCTTTTCAACAATGATTTTGACCAGCTACTTTTTGGATAGCTGCACATGATACCTTTAAGAGCCCAGGGGGCATGTCAGCCTATGGAATAAACACTCGGCCACTGAGCCTCTATCTTATATGTGTGCAGATTCGGAGATTAGTTATGTACAACAACTGCCTCTTGACCTCCAGATTTGAACCATTTAGCAAACGTTTAGTATTGGACAGTTGCTCCATGGAGGCTGCCATGTTGGAATAATTCAATTTGGTGGCATACAATTTGCATGCAAGGATATATCCCGCATTCATCACAGAGCTGACGGAGCTAAAATGTATAATACTCAGACTAGGATCTGAAGCAAAAATGGTCAATTAATGAAAACATTTTGGAGGTAAAGTCATACTAATATACCTTAAGGCCAAAAAAAAAAAGTCTCCGGTTTCTGGTATGGAGCTTGCCCAAAAAGTGGTGCGGCGACGCGGCTTTTTTTTTTTTTTACCTGATTTTTTTGCTTCAAATGTCAGCTGATGACTGCAAATGGTGCCCGACTAAACTTAGTGCAAATATATGGGAGTCGAGAGAGGCCACATAAAGCTTATTCTTGACCATAACCCCATCTAAAAACACGTTAAAATTGTGCAGCAGCAGGATTCCAGTCAAACCAGTGAGTTTGGCGGTTTTGAGACATCATCTTTCATTGAAAAAAAAACTTTTTCATTTTGCCAACGCGCATGGCTACGGCGACGCGCGCATACCAGAAACCGGAGACTTTTTTGGGGGGGGCCTTTAAGAGCCCGGGGGCATATCAGCCTATGGAATAAACACTCGGCCACTGAGCCTCTATCTTATATGTGAGCAGATTCGGAGATTAGTTATGTAAAGCAACTGCCTCTTGACCTCCACATTTGAACCATTTAGCAAACGTTTAGTATTGGACAGTTGCTCAATGGAGGCTGCCATGTTGGAATAATTCAATTTGGTCGCATACTATTTGCATGCAAGGATATATCCCGCATTCATCACACAGATAGCGGAGTTAAAATGTATAATACTCAGACTAGGACATATAAGATCTGAAGCAAAAATGGTCAATTAATGAAAACATTTTGGAGCTAAAGTCATACTAATATACCTTAAAAGGTTTTTTTTTTATTAAATAAAACAGCCTTATTTTCCAAGGCCTGGTCACACTTGTTTAAAGCTGTAGTCCATCATTTGCAGCCATCCGATAAGTAACTGGCGTAATTGTTGTCGAAAAATATACTTGGTTGAAAGATAGTTAGTGGACTAAACTCCCTGTGAAATTATTCTTTCTGGCAAGCTGTCATTTTGAAGTAATCAACGAAAGAAAGCCTTTCCAATGGTGCGTCTTAAGACGCACCGTAGGAAAATTTAAATTAGAAGTTTGTTTTGTTATTCGGTGAAGCGCGCACAAGCATTGGCACAACGCACACACGAGCGCGGTTGCTATAATTCGTCGGATCAGTGCGCGACATCGCGTATAGCTGCAATTCAAAACAATTCAAAACATTATTCAGCAACTTTTGGTTTGAAATTGAGATCCTAGAAAGCTGTTTTTCTCGGAATATACAGCTGAAGCTGAGCTGAAACTTCATCAGGTTAGTTGTTCAGTATCCTTCATTAGATTTTGAGCACTTTTGTTGCTTCAAATGAACAAAATGCACAAATTACAAATGATGGACTATATCTTTAACCCATTAGCAACTGGACCTCATTGTATTACACTGTATTTACTTACTGAAAAATCAATAACACCATAGACTGCTCGGGCAGTTACGGGTGCTACAGTGAGTTATAATAGGCAGGGCGGTTTCGGGCGCTACAGTGACTAAACGATTAACTGAAAGATAACTTGGACTAACCTCTGACAGCTCATCTCTAGATCTGTCCAGCTTAGGTTGTTCACTGTAAGGGGCGTATTGCACCATGTTCCTTCAGAACAAAAAAACACCAGAAGCATGTCACATGTTTACGTGACATAATGTAAAATGCAATTGTGACATGCAACGATGCTGGCTGTTTTAATTATTGGAAGCGATTCTCTCAATGGATGTGAGTGAAATGTTTGTTTTTAGTGAGCCGATAAATTGGAATGGATTGAGGGATATTATATTTGTATAGGCTGGCTTTGCCTGAGTTTATAAATAAATGTTAATTACATGTAATTATATCAGCATTGGCAATCCGTTATCCTATTCAATTTCAATACCACAGACTGTGCAGGAAGAAAGGATAGCACTGCCTGGCCTACTCGTGAGACCTCTGGTGTACACATAGAGCTATATTAAATTACTAGAGCGCTAACTTGTCATTCTGTGCGCGGAGACGCTTTGAAGCCGTCCTGGGCGCAGACATTTTGAATTCATGTGTGTGTTTGTAGAAGTAATGAAATTTAGATGGATTGAATTTTTAAAGTGTACTCTAAATGCAACGCGCAAGTAGCGCAAACAACTTCAGCGCGTCATTGACGGTTCAAAACAACGTGACGGCAAAAAGCATCTGCAGCGAATACGCGCACGCGTTGCGCTGTTTGCGTAGAGCAAAATGACACGCTCATTTGCTGATCGTGCGTTTCGGTTTCGGGCGTATTGGCTTCGATAACGCACTGGTATGGAATACAAATGCAGATATGCAAATAGCCATACAAAATGTCTAGTTCTCCGTAGGTTTGTGCACAAACATGGATGCGCCCAGCAGGCATTACTTTGTTCACGAAGTTAGCACTCTAGTAATTTAATATAGCTCTATGGGTGTACATGACACAGCACATGCACACACACATTCTGTGTGTATGGGGAGGGATATGCAAGACTAATTTCCAACTCAATATCCGTAAATCCATATGTTAGCGTGGAAATATGCTCAAGGTTGCAATAGCAGTCAACAGTTGGTCTATCTCTCATTGTTGGGGGGGGGGGGGAGGCGTTTGTGCACTGAACCCATAAGGTTGAAAGACAATTGGGATATGATACAATGGTAAGAATATAAATGACATGCCGTGAATCCCTCTTTTAAGACAAAACCCGAGTACAGAACATATATTCCGGTTGTTGCCCAAGCCTGTGCCAGGATTTCAACTCTCTCATAGCTCAAAATGTAATCCCCTGGGGAATTTATTACTAGTTGAATGCCCACAACCAGCAGGAAGCAATTAGCATCATTTGACTGATTGACTTCTTCGGTTTTGCCTTAACCCTTCCCAAGTGGCCTAAATGCACACATATCTTCAACAAGTATTACTGAATATATATTATCTAGTGCAACATTTGTCCAGAAATGAAACCGTCTTTCCTTTCTTTTTATCGTTAAAATTGGTGCACAAAAACTGGAAATCCTGAATGGACTGTACATGTACACTGTAGGTATGATCTGATACACCGTGCCCTCTGGAGACGTGCACACAATCGGGAACAAAAGATTGTAAATGTCTCCACAGGGCAATTTCTATAGATGAATACGTCTCCACAAGGTTTTCACGAAATAGATATATGGATTTTACTCAAAAACTAGGAATTTCCAAGGTGGGTTGATCCGTCGCAAATGGAAGAGTTTTAGAAAAGGGATATTAAGTCCCAATTTCAGCCAAAGAAATTAATTCTGGTTAAAATAAGAGCATTTTGAAACTTCACTTTCAAACTCGAAAACATTACTACATGAGAACAAAGAAATGTCTCCACAAGGATACAAATTTCAGTATGCGTGTGGCCTGTATGTGTGTGTGTCCAGATAGGATGGCCTGGACTGGCCACCTGTGGTTTGGCAAATTGCCTGAAGGGATTAACCAGACAATGTTACAGTGCGCTGAGTAAAATATAAGCATCAAAATCCTGGTATGAAAAAAACCGGAGTTTAAAAAGGCAAAATCACCTCATGAGCTTACTGAATGAACTAAGCTTATTCTGCTTAATGAGCTTGATAAATTCGCTTACTTTGGCCATGTGTAGTAACCCCAATGGGTCTTCTCTACGAAGACACAGGCCTCCCACTCCGTCTCAGTTCTGGGCATCTTGGAGGAATCGTAGAAGTGCCACTGGTTGTCTGGACGGACCCCTGGGGCTAACCGGGCTGGAGGGGAGGCGCCCGAGACCGCGTAGGGGTCCAGGGGGGTCTCCTTGTGAGGGCGCTTCAGGACTTTCAGAATCGCACCAACGACTGCAATAGCCACCTGGTGAGAAGTGACAACAAAAACATTTTTTTTATTTAAAAATTTCACAAAGCTTGGCAATTTGCACATCAAAGTTTGTCCCACTTTTGTGATGACACATTAACCCTACCTCCGTAGTCATTTTGCTTGGGACCATCTCAAATTCTCCCAAAAAACTTCTCGGATATCAACTTAAAAGTTCTCGGACATGGTCCCATGTATTCGATGTGTTATGTAAGAATGAAGACAGATCACGCTGATCTTGCCATTCATGAACAAAAAGAAAGCGGAGAGTTTTTCTCCTTTGATGATTTTGTCTTGTTTTATTTCCCTGGCTAGCTTATACAGTCCCAAGAAACTGACTGGTACTGTTGTTTTTGTTTGCCTGGAGGTTTTTTTTGGTCTGCTTTCCGTTTTTGTCTTTGGTTTTGTACTCTATGTTGCAGTATGGCATTTAAAGGGTTTGTTTCTGTGTAAATTTGTAAATTTGATACATATTTTAACTTCAAAATCGAATTAATGTCAAGTGCGATTGATTTAAAAGCAGGTTGACAAAGCTTTCTTGTATTTGTACCTTGCGCACTGCCAGCGTGTCATCAACGAGGAAGTTTGTAAAAAGCCGGACCATGGCTGTTGGGAGTGGGGTGTCTGGCCTCACCATAAGTTTCAACATGCCTGTCGCCATCTGGGAAAACTTCCATCGTCTGTCGGGGACAGAAATGACAAGAAATATTTCTATGAAGAAAATGGCTCTTTAGGTATAGGATTGGGAGTTTCTCCTATGAACCAGGCATTCTTTTCTTACAGCAGGCCTCAAATTTCTACCAAAAAAAACCCCAAAAAGCCAGTGGCTCAAAAATGATCTACACAAAGATTCAATTTTTGAGACCCTTCTTTTCGAAAGAAATGTGTTCAATTCAGAGGGGGAGCCGGACTTTCTCTTTGAAAGTTTTGGGACAAATTTTGAAGGAATAGAAAAATGGTGGGAATGTCAAGCTAAAATCGGGAAAGTTTTGATTAATGGACTTTTTAATTTTTTTTTAAAGTACTTCGGGACACAATTTTGGTTAGGTAAATACCGGTATGAACAATTGGTATATACATGTGTGACTTGGTGGAGATCTTAGTTAACCCTCCTACTGTTTAAACAGTCACAGACAGTCAAAATTTCTATCCACTTCCCTGCTATACCTTTAACACAGGCTAGTCACCAACAGACAGATCATACGTCAAGCAAGCACTGTGACTAGTCAAAATAGGTCAACAGACAAAGCAGGCAAGTTGTGGTCACAGATGTTTTATCACTCACCCGGAGTCGAAGCATAGCTGTATCAAGTTACTTATCAGTCCCAGCCAGTCAATCTAGCTTTATGTAGGCTGGGAATTCTTAACTGTTGAAAACAGTTACTCGTTTGATTTTGACTGAAAGGACTACTTGGCACAGAATGTATATTTGCATACAAGGGTTAATGAATATAAAAAGCTCTTACAGGTTTCCTCGTTCGACCAGCTCAACTAAAGACGTGACCATGTTGGTGTAGATGCTGCCAAAAAAAAAAAAAGTATGAAAACTAACAATTTAAAAAAATTGATTTCAGGCAGCATGAATATTCATCATAATCTTACATGTGTAATGTTTTCAATAAAAGTTTGAAAAGTGGATCAAGCAAAGCACATTTTGAAAACTGATTTTTTTTTGTACACACCTTAAGTTCTTGTCATTGTTATTCTTTAGCCTCACAACGGCCTGCTCCATTTCTTCAGGGGTGGGTGCTTTAACCACAGTTGAAGGGCTGCCTGACTGTGACAGTTGGCCAGCTACGTCTACGCATTCCTGAGACACCTAGATGGCGACAGATGACAATGTGTGTCAACGATGACATGTTGGTTACAAAAAAATGGCAAGCTACTGGAAACAGCTTACTGACTAAATTAAACTTTGCATAATACTTTTTTTTTTAATTCCTCCCCCCCCCCCCAAAAAAATTTATACACAGTAAACTCCGGCTAAATGGGCACTCTCGGGACCCGAAAATTTGTGACGACTTAGGCGAATGCTGACATGTGCTGTAAGTCGTCATTTTGCCGACTTACATGAATGGTCTTTTGCACACATGATTCATTGCACTAATGGGCTTCGATTTACCCTGGATTATCTCCTTAATGCTTGAGTTGAATCCAGCAAATTAATCCTCGAATTGTATCATCGTGTTTGGGGTATTGATAGTGGAGACCACGATACATTATGTACGCGCACAGTAACGAATTAAATGCGTGCGTGGTACAGCATATACGCACGCATTGACTGCAGCATAGCAGTCATTCAATAAGACGACCCTCAAAATGGACAGAGCGCATGCGTACAGCATAGAGGGGGTACTGGTATTGATATGCTCACGAGGCATATGCGATGTATGCAGCAGGACACCCTTTTTCGACACCGGGGATGCAGCGATCACGGGCCGTGCGAAACCACTTTTCACTCGACACTTTGCCAACCGCAGTACAGGAAGTTGATGTCAATGCGTGATTTGTTGAATGCCGACTTACACAAAGGATTTTGTAATGCTTTTTATGGAAAGGGGACCAAGAGTAACATGACGACTTGAGCGAAATGGCTACTTATAAAAGCCGATTCAAAAATATTGAATGGAAATGCATTACAGACAATCGGGACTTTAGTCAGACAGCCGACTTGAGCGATTTGACGAGTTGTCCGATGTCGGTTTAGCCGGAGTTTACTGTATATACAATCAATCATTTAAATATACTCTTAAGGGCTATTATTATAAACTACATCCCAGCACATTTAAAAATAATTTGTACAAATATAGATTATGGTTATTTTTACTATTTCGCAATGGTTTTACAAAAGGCACTCAAGTGGTTTCTTTTCTTCCTGTCAAAAAAAACTCTTCTTTGATTAAGTTCTTTCGTTTAAAAGCCGAAAAATTATTTACCTTGGACAATTTGTTTTTATAAGACATTTTAAAGCAGTAATACAGCATCCCCTTATGCAGGGTTTCTCAATCACTGGTACCCCGCTTACCTGGTTCTTGATTGCCAGTGTGTCATACACCTTGTGTATCTTGACCGTGATCCCGTCAATCACCTTCATGATGGACAGTTTCTCTGAGTGACCGGCCTTGACCAGGGCCGTCCAGCATTTCTGCATGAGTTCCCAGTCGTGGACGCAGGCCAGCGTGCCCATGCCCCCGGCCTGGAGAATGTGCAGTGCGCCCTAAGGTGGTTCACGGGAGAGGAGAGAAAGATAGAAGAGTTTAAGTCAAGTCTTTTTCTGTGTCCATTAAAGTGAACTGAAATAAAATGTTGTATGGACTCCTGTACAAGTACCACCCACTGATCTGTATATAAAGACTGGATAGCGGATATCCATACACCATTCACACAGTAGACTTTGCATATTGACCAATTCGCCCCGGTCTCACGAAGATGGCCGCGTATAATACGAATGTTCTACGCGTATATACTGCGCGCGCTGTATCAACAGTTGACACGCATTTTGGTCACATACACATAATGATGTTCTAAAAAGGACACATTTTCGTAGTGATTATTATTTCCAAAACGCCGAAAAAATGAACTGCAGCATTAAAAAAGTAAAACCACGATGTTAGAAAAATTGTAAACCACTGTCAGTGCACTCAGTGGTGGTGGTCAAAATATAAGTCAAGTGAACTGCGAAGTTACAAAAGAAATCATGCTGTCTATAAAGACGGCAACTTGTCCTTTGTAGATCACCAGCCGATCTCACCAGTCTCACCAATATGGCGTCAAATGCATTCATTGTGCGGATCTTTATCCGCTATCCAGTCTTTATATAGAGATCAGTGGTACCACCTCAACAATTACAAAAAGAAAGATGGAGGGAGGGGGGGGGGACAATAACACATTAGAGATTTTCTTCAGGTTTGAAATTTGTGCCTGTATCACGTGTCTCTATCAATTATACGTGTGACGTCATAACTAATTGCGTTCTTCTCATACGAGATACGAGAAAGTGACGTACCTGATCAGAAATTTCCATCTTTCGCTCAAAATTTTGCCCAATCTAATAATTATATCAACCTCTCATTCTTTTTGATGTACCAGACATGTCGGATTGTAATTGAAAGCGCTAATAATAAAAGTGAAATTTTCAAGACATGTAGTGAATTTGGCTTTTTTTTTTTACATAAAATTGTGACTTGGTTTCCTTAGCAGCAGTACGTTTACACAGAGGTGCGATGGCGAAACTGAATATGTATATGCTTTCGGCATTTTTTCTGAATGCCGAAAGTGTCTATTGCTGGTGACACCTGACACTCACTCGAAGAAGCTTAATATTCATAGTATTGTGCCAAAAGTAAAAGTGCATGAAACAGCGCACTGCACACAATGTGTCCCTCCAACTTGTGAGCTGACGAAGCACCAAATACTGGTCGTGCTTCCAGTATTAGTCCATGGAAAGGAATCAAGCCTACATAACATGGCTATGTTGACTGAGCACTTACGATTAGGAGTATGAGTGATCAAAAACACAGCTGAAAGTTGGGCAAGGGATGTACAACTTTTTGCAAAAATGACTCAGACTCAAGACTCCATCCAAGTCCTTTCACAAATACTTGGGCTATTTCAGCAAATTGTTCATTGCAATATTGAGATTAAAAGCCAATGTATTCAGCCAGATTCTGTTTTATCATGACACATTTCTAGGGCAGTTGTTAATTTCTTGAGATGCTTAATAATATATAAATTTTCAAATTAATCCCAAAACAAGCTGGAGACATTTTATCAGGTGTTACAGGCTTAGTGTGTTCTTTCAGACGATGCATAACATATTTACTACCATTTTTTTTTACATTTTGATTGAGTTCTTCTGCTCACAGCCTCTTATCGTGAGTGGCTTTTGATCCTTTGTCATTTTTTTTGGTCAGGAGCAACCTCAATGGAATAAATAGAAACAACAAACCTTGAAGGTGTGGTGCGAGATGCTTTCATCCTCTCGCAGGTTTTCCAGAACTCTTGGGATGATGTCATAGCGACTGTAGGTCAGGTGATCTATGCTCTCGAACAGGATATTCTGGGCAACCTTACGAACCTAGACAAGAATCAAATGCATAAAAACCTTAAGGAATATGTAAACTTCTTCAGCATTGTAGAACTCAAGTCCAGCACCCGATTTCACGAAGCGCTGCGACGCGTCGCAACTCGAGTTACGACGTGTGACACGTCGCAACTCGCGACGCGTCGTATCATCCATTTCACGAAAGTTGCGATGTGTTGAACGCGTTCCTTGACAATGGCTTAAAACACGTCGCAAGTTAAGACGTGTCTAGTGGTTGTCGCAAAATAAGAAGAGTCATTTCTAAGCCAGTTTTATGCCATAAACATTACATTAACGAGATTATAATACCGAGGCAATGTGTGTAAAGTTGTAAATAGAAAATTCATTGAATAATTATGAACTAGACCGGAATATTAGAATTGAAATTTCAAAGTAGCTATACAGTCCAATGAGTTTGTTTTCCTTCAAAATTGCATCGCACGGCCGCCATTTTGTTTTACGTTTTAACAAATTTCGAGCTGAGATCCGACGACTCTTTGTTGAATATCAGACGACTATTTACTGTACGCTGACTAAATACAAAAAACAGTCACCGAGTTGTGCTATAAATACAACTACGACGCGTCGCACTTACGACGTGTTTTGTGAAATGGATCGCAGGACGCGTCGCAGCTGCGACGCATCGTAGAGATACGACGCGTCGCATCGCTGCGATGCATCATAAGTTACGAAGAGTTTGATGAAATCGGGTGCAGGACTCGGAGTCAGGTCTGTCTCGAGTCACAATATGACTTGACTTGACTTGAGGAACATCAGCAAAAGACTCGAAGGCTTGGAGTCAACCATTATGACTTGGACTTGACGCTAATGAATAAACAAAATACCTTTTCAAAACTTAACTACAATGCTTATTTCCAGAAAGTAACATTAAAGGTATATAAACAACATTTGCATACATCAACAAACAAAACTACACAATTATTATGAAATACCTTACTTGACTGTCAGTGAATAATAGTCTAAAGCATCCTGTGAAATCGTGGCACCTGGTGTGCTGTCATTTTCAAGGAAAGTGGAATTGTTGTATCAATTACCAACGATGGTCTACTGATGGTCGAGGATGCAAGTTCACTTGAGTATAAGCATTGCTTTTAATAGTATAAGTACTTGAAATTGTAAGTACTTGTAAGTACTTGAGCACTTGTTCTTTACAATGCACTCTCATGCCCATACTCTTCAACCTGTTCTTGACAACAAAATGGCCATTTTGGTTCTTTCATCAGTCCTTTACTGGATGCTACTATGCCTGTAGAGCGCCATGATCCAATGGTTATGGTGTTCAACCAATATGCCATGGTATTTGGGCTCAAACCTGCGATAGTGTTCTTGGGCAAGACACTTTACTAAAATTGACCTATCAGCGTTTGCGAGTTGGCCACAACCTTAGACAACCCTATGGAATTGTGTACGTTAAGTTTTGTTTGTCTCCGATTTTGCGCTTTCTGCGTCCATTTGTATATGTAATATGACAATATTTCACAAGCTGCGTTGGCGCAATTCTACCGCGATATGTTAATTGCCTCTCTCCACTCGGGAGTATAAAAAGGTACCTGCGCGCTTATCTTGGCTGCAGAAATGTGGTCTTTAAATCTGTTGAACAGGGGTTATACTTTTGAAGCACTTTAACCCTAAAGGGGCCGGGTTATTTTGACCATCTCTCAGCCGGGGGGGGGGGGGGGGGGGGGGGGGGGGGGGGGGGGGGGGGGGGGGGGGGGGGGGGGGGGGGGGGGGGCGGATTCCGCCCCCCCCCCCAAGATCTCGGCCATCGAGTGACGAAAATTTTTGAAACTCAGCACATGCATAGAGCAACTCTTCCTTAACATGCCCAAGAAATTTCATGACTATAGGTCAAAGGGTTTTGGAATTATGGCTAATTAATTATTCATATGTATGAATGGCAATTCTGCTCGGTGTACACGACATATATGCGAAAATTCAGTTTTCACGGCGCATAGCGCCGGAAAATTTTTCGCTACGTGCCAACCCGTGGTCCGAGGCTAAAAAGTCATAACAGCTCGGGTCGCGAAAAAATTTTTTTAAAAGCTATCGCGGAAAATGTTGAGGGGGGGGGGGCGGATTCCGCCCCCCCCCCCCCCCCCCCCCCCGGCCCTTTTAGGGTTAAGACGTTCCTTTGGCAGAGAGTGATATATCAAAAGCACCTCACATACCTCACTGTATCTGCTCATAGATAGCATGGTCAGGTCATGCAGGACCATCTGGTCCACTTCTGAGTAGATGACATATCTCAGTTGATTCATGAGCCGCTGGTCGTGCTGTATCTGAACCCGGTCGATCTGGAGGGCTCGAATCATGCGGTTCTTGCCATGTAGCTGAAAACATAATGAGGAATGAAAATGTCAAAAAGGAACAAAAAAATTCCAGGGAATGCTATGTGTTTTTGTTTGCATTTTGAGGGTGACAGGAAATCCATATATATTTGTGGAGAAAATGTTGAAAAACCTTGTTTGTTTACATAGCCTGCTACAGCAGCTTTCTTTTGCCTTTCTGGTGTGTTTCTAGCAGCGAATAAGAATTTGTTCTTAATCAGCACTGGAACATTGTATGTTATGACTTGTTTAAATACTAAAGTGAAGGTTTTTACATCAGTCCATTATTAAGTGGTTCTTGTCAATTTAATGAATTCAGGTGTGTATTTTCTTATTTGTTTGTTTGAAGATTTTTCGTTGGACAAGCGTTACATTCACTGTGTAGACTTCCTAACCAAAGACCAGGTAGCAGCGACGCTGTGTGGACTTGCCCACGTCCACACAAGGTTTTCCCCTTTCTGGAAAACAGGTTTAGAGGCATTTTGGGGTTAGGTTTATCCGTGAAAAAAATGAAGAGAAACACTAAAGGGAATCATAAAAAAAATTTGGGTTGAAAGAGTTTTCACAGTTTGAGTAAAATAAGGTTTTTCCACTAGTTTTTCTTAACTACACAAAAACAAAGGAATGTCCACACTAGGTATGTAAAACATGTCTGGGTGTGTGTGTGTTTAATTTAATTTGAATGTTAAGGTCTCTTATGTTCTATTGATTTAAATATAACATTTGTATGGATACTACACATACTTTTTACTAATTGCACATAGGAAAGCATAAATCTTATGTAATTTTTACGTGGCAAATAAAAATCTTGAATCTTGAATAAAACCAACAAATTTAAAGACAAGCCTGTTTTTAGATTGTTTTTTGAAAGGGGGGGTGTTACTGACCTTGTCTCCGATGGCTTTCTTGATCATCTTCCAACTCTTCATGCGAGTTTCAGAGCGTTGCTTCTGGGTTCCTGTGAACCACAGCAAGGCATGTTGGATCTGTGAATGGGGCACAAACCAAGACTATTCAAAATATACAATCTACAACCAACAAGTCCTGCTAGGACAATGGTTACATGGTGTTCCATCAGAGGTTATAATGAAACCTGGCAGAGCCCTGATTGACGTAGGTAAGCACCAACAATCTTACACGACAAATGCAAAAGCGACGCAAATCTTACATTATTCACAAGATGGAATTTGCGTCGGGGTGATGGAAATTCCATACTATTTTTTGCCCTTCACCGATGTAATATTGAATTTCCATCACCCTGACGCAAATTTCATCTTATGAATACTTTCATTGTGGTACCCGCTGCTACATCAAATTAGAACCTGCCAACCTATCCCGCAACCTCGGTGGTCGAGTGGGTGACGTCTGCACTAGAAAGCAGGAGATCGTTGATTTTTTCCAATACACTCGGGGGGGGGGGGGGGGGGGAACCACACTGAAACCTGACATTCCCTATTCAAAAACCCCTCGCACGCTCCAACCTTACACTCATTCCGCAAACCTATAGCCCTTCCTTATTCACTAACCCACTTCCACCCTAACTCCACCTCCACCCCCCTCTCCTGTTACCCAACACCCTTACATCCACTACCTTATTCCCTTCCCTATTTACCATCCCCTTCCCCATCTCACAACATCTCTACTTTCGCCCACTATTTCCATCCCCCGACACACTGAAATCTGACATTCCCTATTCAAAAACCCCTCGCGCGCTTCAACCTTACACTCATTCTGCAAACCTATATCCTTTCCTTATTCACTAACCCACTTCCACCCTACCTCCACCTCCATCCCCCTCTCCTGTTACCAACACCCTTACATCCACTACCTTATCCCCTTCCCTATTTACCATCCCCTCCCACAACATCTCTACTTTCACCAACTTAACCCCATCCCCTATTCACCAATCGCTTCCCCACCCTCCGGCCACATACATCCAACAACCTATTTAACCCTTCTCCCTCTTCAGCAACCTGTCCCCTTAAATCCACAACCTTATCCCCCTCCATTTACCACACCCCTTGCCAAAACCTCCCTAAGTTCATCCCATCCTTACCCTGCACACAAGCTGTAATGCTTTGGTATCGTCTTCCCCGGTGGCCAGCATGTGATTCATCAGATCGTGCATGACCAGCGTGATCTCTTCTCGTATGCGGGAGAATGCCGAGCTGAACTCCGAGATGCCCACTTGCATCGGGTGGGGGACTCTCTCTTGATTGACCGTCTCAATTCTGTGTGGCCAAGAAATATATAGATTGAGCACTTCAGCAACACTTGTTGGGCAATTCCACGCAAAAGTGGACATAGCTGAAAGTGGAAAATTGATGTAATCTTCAGAATGATAAGCGTCACAACCTAAAGCGTGGTATCAAATTTAACGGGACAACAAGATGTTTCATTTGAATGGTGTGCCAAGGAGATGGAATTTGGTCAAATGCATTTTTGTGTCAAAAACTTACTGCCAAACTAGTTAGTCACTTAACTTCAAGCGATCTTCTCTGAGAAAAATGCATCCTAAATGCTTTGACCTCCTAGAATAATAGAATTTTTATTGACTACCTGGTATAAGAAAAATAAATTGTTAAGACGGCCAACTACTCACAAATTGGTTACAACAGGTTTGTTCCACCTCGGTATAACAAAGCCAGCACCAGTGAGGAATTCATGGATGACTGTAAGGCTCTGAAGAAGCCGCTCCCTGTAAAATATACAAATGGTGTCATTATTGAGCCAACATTCTTCCTTTCATTTGTCTCTCTGGACAATCTTAAACATCAGAGTTTAAGTGGAAAGACCAACTAACGGACTTTGTTAACACTAACCTCATTTAAACAAATCAATTAGAATATCATAATTCCTGCATTGATACCGCCTCAACAAACTCAGTCAAAGGTAGGATAAATCATTTGTGCATTTTTTTCTTTCGAAGGAACAAAAGTGCCCAAAATCTAAAGACGGGTGCTTAGCAAACTAGCCTGATGAACTTTTAGCTCAGGGAGTGCAGCATATTTCGAGAAAACAATATTCTAGGATCTCAATTTCGATTGAAAAGCTTCCGAGTCATTTTGAATTGCACCTGAAATCAAAATCAGCTGATTGCAGCTACGCGATGTCACGCACTGAACTGATGAACAACAGCAACCATGCGCATGTGCATTGTGTCAACGCTTGCATGCACCAATTCACGGATTCACCGTATTACAACCAACTACTAACGGACATTTCCAAAAATCTTTGGAAATTACCTTCTTTTATTTTTTTTCTTCAATATGACAGCATGCCAGAAGGAATAATTTCACAGGATGCTTATTTACTGTCTTTAAACCAAGTAATCTTTTCAACAGTTATTTGGGTTACATTTTGGATAGCTGCAAACAATCTACTCTACCTTTTAGTGCACTTTTTGTCTCACTCCAACACCTTGGATGAAATTTTTTTTTTTTCAAATGGAAAGCAGGGTAAGGAGGAAGCAGTTTCCTTAGTTGGCTCCCAAACTCATGTCACAACCATAGTTGCTCATCGATTAAATGTACCGGTATATCGTTATACTAGATCCGGGTATCTCAACCCTTTGGCACTGTAGTGCCCGAAACTGCCCTGCCTATAACTCACTGTTGCACCCGAAACTGCCCAAGCACAATACGATTTAATTGCTTCTTCCGTGAACAAATACAACGCAATACAATAAAGTACAAGTACTAAATGGGTTAACCCTAACCGCCCTGAATCCTTCAAAATCCTCTTTGCCACAGTAAAGGAATTTGGAGGATTGAGGTTACATGGCAAAAGTGTGTTACTGATTTCGTACTATGCACTTTGTCAAGGTCTTGGACCGGACCTCGTGCTGTTTTTGCTCAGCCATGCATCAATATAGGCCTGGATTATGCTTGAAATCCTCCGTACTGCTCCAGGATGTCACTGGCCAAGCCTCAACATATTGACAGTCACTGCCGCAGGATTTTGCAGGATTCAGGCAGTGGTCACTCCTCCACTGACCGTATTCAAGAAATGATGAAGGAATTTGCAGGATGGAGGCTATATGCTATTTTTTCCATGAGGCCAATTGGAGGATTTTGCAGGATTGAGGCTACATCCTAGCAAAAGGCCTAGGATGTAAGGGTTGAAGTTTCTCTGCACATGCTATTTTCAGAGTTTGGACTCCCCCAATCAAAACAAAAAATGTTTTTAAGGTGCTGTTGTTCTAGCGATATCAAAGTTAATTACTTGTTTGTGCGTTATCGTTACAAAAGCAACCCAAAATAAAAGCGTATTTTCCGAGGAATTAAAACGTCTAAAACAGAAAAAAATTAAACAAAACAAAAATTGAAAACTTGTTTGGAGAAATAATTGAATAAGATGGAGAGAACAGGTAGAGTAAAACTGAAGCTTATCCTACCTGGACAGCTCTTCTCCCTTGATGAAATCCTGGATCTTGGATATCTCTGGATCAAAAAACATCTTCATCAGGTCTTTGATGGCTTTGATACTCTTCTCCGTGGGTAAATGCCACTTTATGTCCAGGTTGTCAATGTCGGTGGACGTACCCCAATCCTGAACACCGAAATAAAAAGTATGGTTTACTTGGTGGTAGATCCTTACATTCTACCCATGGTGAACTGAATCCCATATGTACATGCAGCTAATCCAAACTCATATGAAAAAAAAAATAATGATCGGACACTAGAAATAGGCTAGGGCGAATCCATACCGGAATTGATTAGAATTTTTTCCTAATTTGGAGTCAGAATCTTGATGCCATGAATTAGAGGAATAGACTCCTTTTAGTGCCCAATTCCATTTTGCTGACTGCTGACTCAAGTGTCAAATCCCGGTCTGATTCCAGATAATTTAAAGCAATTATTTTCTGTGGTACATGTGCATGTAAAAATGATCAAGTTTTTAGAGAGTAAATTAACATCTCAATGCCTGCCCATTTTTGATTCACTCCTAATTCATTAGAATATTCATTAAAAAAAAATCCTAAATCATTTTGCTGCTGTGTAAATCTGGAGTCAACCCCTGGCAAGAATCGCAATTGATTCCACAAATGTTGGAGATAACACAATCCTGCCTGACTTGAAGGTGGCCTGTCTCCACAGGCTATCATCCCAGCCCTTAAATAAACATTACCCTTGCTAATTATTTTGGTCAGCTTCATTGTGAGGTCAGTGAAATGCCTGATTTATCTCCATAAATGTATTTATTTCTTAACAAGGTATTCCTTTTTTTCCTGTTTATTGACCTGTTCACCCTGGGGCCCCAGAGTACATTAAAATTAACGCTACACCCCCTTGTACATTTAACAAGCTCAATCGGAAATATCTCGGAAGCTGCGGGCCAACGAATTCGTGTTCGTGCATGAGTCACCTGATTGTGCTATGTAATTCCTGGAAGAAGTAGTGTTTCGAGTAAAAAAGAAATCAGGTTTTTACCCAGTGACCCATGATGACCTTTGACCCCAGTTTGGTCATGTGACATGTTGGGGCTGGGCTACTGAAACTTTCGACAAAGTTTGGTTGAAATCGGTCAAATTATGTAGGAGCAATAGACAATGTCGGCGTTCGTTACTATTACTAACTAACGGACTATCACAGAGACACGATGATTTATTGAGCTGCTATCCCGCAGCTAAAAACATAATATTGGAAACAATCACAGGAATATAAGACGGTCATAAAACAATCATACAAAAATTTAAAAGCGAGAAATCACCTCACCCTGATTGGCAGATACTCATTGAGCGGTCTATCGAGTCCACCGGGTACGCTGCAGTATTCCAATGGGTAGATCATACAGCAGGCTTTGAGGGTGTGTTTCAGGAGGGTACAGGCAAAGCCATAACCTTCCTTACAGGTCAGATGGAGGGTGGATTGTAGGACAGACACCAGTGTAGACTGGTACTCCAGAAGGTCGTGGCTGGGGCACTGAACGATCTACAAAGCGAGCAGAGATGGTGTAAAAAACAAAATGAGGCTTAGGCCAAAAAAAAAAAATATTCAGTCTCTGGTCTACGGAGCTTTTAAAGGGACATAGGTGAAAAAATAAAATTGAAAAAATCATCGTAAGAATGAAAAAAATCTGCGTTCGAACGAAAAAAATCTGCGTTCGAACGAAAAAAATCTGCGTTCGAACGAAAAAAATCTGCGTTCGAACGAAAAAAATCTGCGTTCGAACGAAAAAAATCTGCGTTCGAACGAAAAAAATCTGCGTTCGAACGAAAAAAATCTGCGTTCGAACGAAAAAAATCTGCGTTCGAACGAAAAAAATCTGCGTTCGAACGAAAAAAATCTGCGTTCGAACGAAAAAAAATCTGCGTTCGAACGAAAAAAATCTGCGTTCGAACGAAAAAAATCTGCGTTCGAACGAAAAAAATCTGCGTTCGAACGAAAAAAATCTGCGTTCGAACGAAAAAAAATCTGCGTTCGAACGAAAAAGCTGTTTCCTGTTTGCTGTAAGCTGTTTGCCCTCCCTGTGCTGCCCACCACTTATGTGGGTGATTTTTGTGGGTCAAAACATTCTTTGCCCTGAAAACTGTTGTACCAAACATGTAAAACGTATCAATCATGATGTGACTCATATCATGCTCTTGTAAATGCAACAGTTTCTCCACATTTAACTGGTTATCCATGGGCCACCAAAAAAACATGTCGGGCTAGCCATGGCTATCAGAATAGCCCGACATGTTTGTCAATTGCTATGAGTATGAGTAGGAATCAGCTAATTAGTGAATCCCGTATCTGAAAGTGAGGAAGCAGAAAGTACATGTACATGTACAAGTGTTAGACTAGTAAAATAGGCTTATTGAAAGCCAGAAATGATCAAACAATATATACATGTCAGTCGCTTCTAAAGTTTGGAACTATTACAAGGATTAGGAATGAACATTTATACTGTAAAGGATTTGTGGATAGACAAATTTTTGAAAATCACAATGACGACCAGTTATATTTTTTTATCTGAAAAACTTGAAAGATAATTATATAGCCTTTTTTAATTATTTTTTTGAACTTGCCTCACTTTATAAAAAGAAACCAAAAAGGCAAATTACTTTATAAAATGTCTCATAAGTGTGTTGCCTCAGCATAGCATAATGGGTGGGACTGATGGGGTGGGGGGGGGGTTGTAGCTAGTATTGTAACAGGATAGGGACTCTTAAAAAAAGAAGGACAATTAGCTAGAACTTCATTGCAATGGTCAAACGTCATGACCAACTAACAGCAAGCCCTAGTAAGACCGTTTGAAAGCTCATAGACTGCTTTAAGACCAGTTATTGAAATTCCTGTACTTGGGCCACGGACCTATATTGGGCACATATGTCATGCATGTTGGACCTGAAAAAACATGACCAAATCACCCACATAAGTGGTGGGGCAGCACAGGGAGGGCAAACAGCTTACAGCAAACAGCAAACAGCTTTTTCGTTCGAACGCAGATTTTTTTCGTTCGAACGCAGATTTTTTTCGTTCGAACGCAGATTTTTTTCGTTCGAACGCAGATTTTTTTTCGTTCGAACGCAGATTTTTTTCGTTCGAACGCAGATTTTTTTTCGTTCGAACGCAGATTTTTTTCGTTCGAACGCAGATTTTTTTCGTTCGAACGCAGATTTTTTTCGTTCGAACGCAGATTTTTTTCGTTCGAACGCAGATTTTTTTCGTTCGAACGCAGATTTTTTTCGTTCGAACGCAGATTTTTTTCGTTCGAACGCAGATTTTTTTCGTTCGAACGCAGATTTTTTTCGTTCGAACGCAGATTTTTTTCGTTCGAACGCAGATTTTTTTCATTCTTACGATGATTTTTTCAATTTTTTTTTTTCACCTATGTCCCTTTAAAAGCTCCGTACTGGTCAGACCAAAGTTCCGGAATTGACGCGGGGACGCGGCTTTTTTTTTTTTTTTTGCTTTTTTTTTTTTTCTTCAAGCTTCGATTGTACAGACAAGGTGGGGTACTATTTTGCTTTTTTGGTGTCCTCATGTACATTGGTGTCCTCCATAATTTGCCTTGGTGCTCTCGATCATTTGCCTTGGTGCAATTTCCCATTCCTTGGTGCTCTTTGGTAAAAAAAAAAATTGAGGAGGTGCGCTGTTGGAGCTACCGCGGAACATTTTGGAAAAAAAAAAGATTGACGCGCATGATTAAAATCGACTGACCAGAGAGCGACTTATTTTTTTTTTTGGCCTTACACTCAAGACAGGCTTTATGGTGGAACTTCCCCCATGAGAAGTTAAATCTGTGAGGCGTTCAGGCAAAATGAGACAGAACTGGGCAGAGGTCTATACTGTTTACTACACTGTTTGTTGCACTTCAATCGGACATTCCGTTGACAGTGTTTTTTAATTTTTATTTACGTCATATTTAGTGAGGGTAGCTCCGATCAGTGCAGGGCACTGCTTTCCATGGAGGCCCTCAATATGAGAAATATGAGACCCATTAAGTAGCACCTTTAAGGGTTACAAGGTGCTCCTTAGAGTTCAACTTGATCGCCATTTCAAAAAAGGTAAATTTTGTAAAGTGCATTGAGATTTTTCTGATGATGTAATGTGCTTTATTAGAATTATTATAATATTATTGTTATTTAAAATACTGACAAAAAAATGTTAAATTTCTGTCTTCTTGTCGTGAAAATTAAAGATGTAGAATGTTTTTCTTTAAAACCTTTTATCACGCGATTTTTATACTACAATGTATGTCTTTAAAATATGGGTAGTAGCCATACGGTATCAAAGATTACAAATATCATTAAATCTTAAAATCTATTTTTCTCCAATACGGCCTATGCCCAGTCTCATGTTAATTTCTTTGTTTTGTTGTGCTGCTCAAAATGCAATAAGTTAAATTATTCCTATATTACTAGTGGGGCAGAAATGGGAGAAACTCGGGGGAATTGTGCCTTTGATGATACAAGCATGACACGTGGCACACAGTCAGAGTAGGTCTTAAGAAAGATATTTGGCTATAGGGCCATCACAGATCTGTCCTTTGAAAAAATAGGTAGAATAGCAAACAATTTCCAAAATTTTGAAAATGGCTGCCATTGCTTGTTATTCGACCTATATTTTTTTCAAAGGACACATCTGTGATTGCCCTATAGCCAGATATCTGTCTCATAACATACTCTGCCATGTGCCAAATGCCATGCTTGTATCATCAAAGGCACAATCCCATCACCTATCTGCCGTACTATACTATCTGAATGTGACGTGACTGAATCCAAATTGTCTGTCATCTTCCAAAAGGAAAAAAAATACACTGTGTCAACTGTTTAATTGGAGGGGGATACAACTGAAAACTAGCATAAATATGGGTCATTCCACCGGGTTGGGGAACAATGTGTGACATATGACCATATTAAGAAAAGCATAAATGCCTTGCTAGTAGTTGCTCTACATAATCATGACAATTTTTGTTGTTGGGTATTTCACGACTGCAGAAAGTTTGCAATGATTTCAATGTATTTTGCCAAAAGTTTGAGCAAAAAATGTCATTTTGGATGTAACATTGACACCGTGTCAGTGTTACGTCCAAGCATGACATTTGTACCTTTTTTTTTAAATTTCTGCGAAACATTACCCAAATTCACTTTGCGTACTTCTTACTATGCACGCAATACAATAAGAAAAGCTTTTGTTACGGTAGTCAGGTATCAAAAGGAGCAGAAATGATAGCTTGGTTGTGTGGATGTAACATTGACACGGAGTAAAACCCAAATGTCACACTTCCATTGAGTGATTTTTCACCGCTACATCCACACTTGAGGTATTGTTTCTGCTATATTTGAACCCCGACTATACCAAAACAAAAGCTTTTCTTGGTGCTTAGGTGTCCAGTTGTAAATATGCAATGTCAGTTTGGGTAATATTTAACATACGAGTAAAAATGGCAAAAAAAGAATATTTGGATGTAACAGTGTCAATGTTACGTCCGAATTAATACATTTTTGCTCATATTTTTGTCAAAGTACTTTCAAATGATTTCAAACTCTCTCAAGTATTGAAACACCCTAAGACAAATATTATGTTGAGCAATTGTTTAGAATGCATTGATACTTATAATAATATAACCAAATATATGGATGTAACATGCACTGCTTCCCAACCCGGTGGAATGACCCATAATGTCTTTGTCTTACCTCGGACAGAATCTGAAGATTAAAGAGTAGTTCTCCATCCAGATGTTCTTCTAACTGGACCTCCTCAGAGGCCGTCAAGTTGAGGATGATGCCACTACAGTGAGGGATGAACTTACGCAGAGCCATCTTGGCATTGGCCTGGGGAAAAAATTGAAACGAGAGAAACATGCTGCCAATACTGTCAACTGTAAGAGGATTAAAGTTATAATGAAGAATGGTATTTCTTTTAAGTGGTAAGAAGATTGTTCTGAGAAAAACCTGTGGACAAACAGTATGCTCTTGTTGTCAGTATGGTCTTACTGTCTTCGGGAGACATCTCTTGAAAGTTAAAATCATTGTGTCTGACCCAATATTTCTATCAAAAGTCATTAGCTGTGGTACACTTGCCATGAACTCATGAACAGTAGATGCGTGAACAGTAGATGACCTTCATGAGGACTCTGTGGGAGAGACACATGTTCAGTGCATGTGTATATGCACAATTTTCTGTGCGTGCACAAGTCTGTATCTTATTTGCACGAGTGCCATGCATTTTTTTTGGGGGGGGGGATCAATGTATTCAAGTCACTCCTAACTCTTTCTTTGTAACCGAGCGAGGGGGTAATTTTGCACGGGTCTACAACATAAAATGGTATTTTAGTTAGAGTAGTAGAAACCATTCCTAGAAACACCAGTGTTGTAGTACTTGTACTCAGTACTCGTACTCCTCGGGTACTTTTTTTGTCGCACTCGTACTTGTACTCGTACTCGAATGTCAAAGTACTCGTACTCGAAATGACGGTACTCGTACTCGGATAGCAAAGTACTCGTACTCGACATGTTGAAATTATACTCGATCATTATAGTACTCGTACTCGAATAGCAGTACTCGGGGGAAAAAAATGTTATAGCTTCACTTATCATGGCCTTATTTTTTCGATACTTTCAGTTTGAAATGGTTGATTGGCTTGTTGAGAAATCAAGATCTCCTGATTTTCTTCTGTACAAGTCCGGACAAACACATTTAACAGCTAGCCATGAGTGGGTCTGTACATCGGTCTGACTGGGCCTGGGCCAATTACGCACAATGAACCATTTGCCGTATGGCCGTATTCGGAAATGCGAGTACTCGCACTCGTACACGTACTCGGAAGTACAAGTACTCGTACTCGGCAACCTAATTACTCGGCAGTACTCGGTACTCGGAAAAAAATACTCGACTACAACACTGCTAAAAACACATCATTTCCATCAGTATGTTTCTTATTATCCACCATCAGGCAAAAAATAATCTTCCCACCTCATTACTGCATCAACAGACACTGATTACAGAAGATTCGAACTGGCAAGCCAACCCTGGCAAGCTCTGTTGTAGAGTGGTTAATACATTTCACTAGTATTAGCAGGTGGTCTTGGGTTCCAGTCCCACCGAAGAAGTGTTTACCTTTGTTGCTGACCGACACATGTGTGCAACCATCTTGCCAGCTACTTTTGTCTCTAGTACTTTGTTAGCAACAAAGGAGAACAGCCTATCCAGTGCAACCTGCAGGGAGAACAATTAAACCGACCAATCAATGCTAAGTTGAACAAAGAATTGGTGGTTGTGGGATTTGAACCTCCAACCTCAAGAATGCAGTACCGGAGCCCAATCTATACACAATCATTTGGTAGAGTGCTGCTTCATTATGGGGTCGCAGGCTCAACTACCACTTCAGTCGATATCTTTTAGCGACCTCACATTAAGTATTTTCATATTGTTACGTCTATTAATTGTACATATATGCATATGTTTTTATGGTTTCAATGTGAAGTTTTTAATGTGTATTATACAAATATTGAATGCTTCGAGTGGTGTAGTAAAACTAGCCTCCCAAGGTGATCCATGGACATTCTATTTTCCCGAGGCGAAGCCGAGGGAAAATAGAATGCTCCATGGATCACCGAGGGAGGCTAGTTTTACTACACCACGAGATAAAGCATTCAATATTTGTATAGTATACATGTAGTCATTTATAACACTTCACCCACAGATTCTGCTTGGTTATATTAAAATTATTTAAATCTGAACACAGTTGAAATAAACTTCAATTTCAATGCAAAACTGGAGGAGAATGTGTTTCTCTCTTCCAAACTACCCCTTCGCGAAATGTTTGAACCCAACTCTGCAGCGCGCTCTCTTTGGAACAAAACGCGCTGCGTGCAACGCGCACACCAGCATGCATTTGCACACAAATACCGCAACGTGGAAATAGTACTTTGTTTGCTAATGGTATAGTACTTTGGTTGCTACGGGTATAGTACTTTTTGCGGTGCACAGAAAGATAGCAAAAATACAAAGTATCATGTGACTCGCTCTCGGCCAATCAAGACAAAGAATCTGTGGGTGAGGTGTTATAAATGACTATACGTGTGCAGAACGAGGAGACAAGTTTCATGTTTTACATGATGAGAATAAATTGAATTGAAGTATAAATATCGATGTGCCAACAGATAAAGAATGAAATCTTACCACCCAAAAGAGAGATAAGCTTAGGGCTCACTCCCCGCCTTATCCCCCAAAAAATGAATTTTACGAAGTGATACAAAACCACTGCATTCTAGCTCCACCTATAACACGTAAGGTCTATTAAACTTGTGGAGTTTTGCGACATGTATCCATCTGGGAGATGTAGTTGTGTTCCATTCATTTGTTATTTAACGTGTTTTCAATATCAAAATAAAGAGACAACACAGAAGTCTTGTATCTACCTTGTATAATTGTGGTGAGCACTGTGTCATGATGGTACTGAAGGTTGAAGTTAATCCCATATCAAACAGGTTCTCTTGCTGGTTGGCCCTGTTAGGATTACTGTCTTGTGATCGGATGTGCTCCATGGTGCTGTTATCTATCAGGCTGAAGCACCTGTAATAAGCAAAAGTAGTTTAGCGTAAGTTCCAGAATAATGGGGGTTGAGAAAATTTTAACCTTTTGCATATTCATCAGGCTCCCAAAACATTTTGCCAACTTTTATGTTTTCGGTGGGCAATGGTCGCAAATATGTCGATGCAAAATTTACCCAATTTGTATTTGAAATTTCCAAATTTTCCACAAATATTGAAAAGTTTGTCTATGTTATTGCATCCAAAAAGGTGAATGAGTCTAGAAATTTTACTTAAAGTGAAACCAAAACAAACTTCGAACTCTTTTTCTTTAATGTACTAATCATTGTTTCAGACCCATGTACAGTAATTTTCTTTTCAAGTTCTGTTAAGATTCAACAATGTGAATGGTTCTTGACATTTTAGTGGACATTACTGGAGCTTGCCTTGTCAACTTTGTGTAAATAGTTGACATAATGAGAGAAAAAAATGTGGATTAAGAATGTTCGCAAAGGAAAATTTGAACAAATATTATTAGTGCACAAAAATCAAGGGGTCCTCCAAAGCTTAAAGGTAGAAAAAAAACTTGCACTATGAACTGCCAGAGAAGAGGGCAGTATAATGGACTTTCCTTTTACTTTGAGTTTTGGCAATCAGGACAAGAAAAAGACATTGGAAAAAAAAAATTCTCAATGATTGTTAAAGATGTTTACAAAGAAACATGAAACAGCTTTCTTTAATTACCGATCCATGAAGGTCAGGATGAAATCTTCAAAGCCGGCGGTTGCTGAGCACAGCTCCCGCTCCTGTTCAGTCAGGTCATCCCTGACTAATGGGGCCTCCGAGCAGTCCACCAGGGGGACAAGGGAGATGAAGGTTGAGATGGTCTGGAATGTGATCTATTGAAGGCAGACAAACGTACAAGCAACATGACAGAAAATGATGCCCCATAAACTCGATTAGATGTTTTTCGCTGGGGAATTTCATGAAATCTACGGGTTCTGAGCAGTTGGTCTCGCCTAAATCTCTGTACATGTACATGTAGCTGTGAACACTTCTTACAGTTACAAAAGTTAATTGATCTTTCAAATTTATCTATTCACCTTGGATTCCCAATTTTTATAAAACATCTCAAGAAATATAATTTGACAATTATCTCCGTCAAGGTCAATGGGCGTAGCATTTTTCAAACTGCTTTTAATAAACAAAGTCATCTGTTCAGTAATTTCTGTGCTACAGATTTCCAGTGTTTTATACTGTCAAATTCAAATTAGCATTTCACCACTATGCACGCCCAAGTGTTTTATCAGATGTCCAAGCAGATGTCTGACTCACAATATCCAACTTACCATGCACTTGGCAAAGTCATTTGGGTCAATGCCAGGAAGCATTGCATTAAGCAGAGGGAGCACGTGGCTACGTCCCTCTGAGTACCACTTGCTGCTCCTCAAGAGACTCCTAGATACAGAGACTACGCAGCTGACTGTGGCAATGAGCTGATGGGGTTCCGTCAAGGTATCCAGGGCAGTGTAGGTCCTGAAACCAGAGTGGAAAGGAAAGGATTAACAAACTAACAATGAGTTTAGGGGACTCCTAGATGGAACTGACTATGCTACTGCGGCAATAAGGTGATGGGGTATTTAGCACAGTGTAGGTCTGGGTTCTGGAACCAGAATTGAGAGTAAAATGCTCAACAAACAAAAAATGAGTTTCTAAGGAGACTCCTAGATATAATAGACTACTCAACTGAGTGTGGCAATGAGCTGATGGAGTTCTATCAAGGTATCCAGCACCCGATTTCATCAAGTCTTTGTAACTTACGATACATCGCAGCGCTGCGACGCGTCGTATCCCTACGATGCGTCGCAGCTGCGACGCGTCCTGCGATCCATTTCACAAACCACGTCGTAAGTGCCATGCGTCGTAGGTGTATTTATAGCACAACTTGGTGACTGTTTCATGTATTAAGTCAGAGTACAGTAAATAGTCGTCTGATATTCAACAAAGAGTCGTCGGATCTCCGCTCAAAATTTGTTTAAACGTAAAAACAAAATGGCGGTCGTGCGATGCAATTTTGAAGGAAAACAAGCTCTCAGTGGACTGTATAGCTACTTTGAAATTTCAACTGCAATATTCCAGTCTAATTCCTAATTATTCAATGAATTTTCTATTTACAACTTTACACACATTACCTCGGTATTATAACCTCGTTCATGTAATGTTTATGGCATTAAACTGGCTAAGAAAGGGACTCTTCTTATTTTGCGATGACCACTAGACACGTCGTAACTTGCGACGTGTTTTAAGCCGTTGTCAAGGAACTTACGACGCGTTCAACACATCGCAACTTTTGTGAAATGGATGATACGACGCGTCCCGAGTTGCGATGCGTCGCAGCGCTTCGTGAAATCGGGTGCAGGGCAGATAGGTGCTAGAACCAGGATTCAGAATAAATGTTAAACCAACGAGCAATGAGTTCCTAAGAAGACTCCTACACGAGACTAAGCAGCTAATTGTGTTAAGACCGGTTATTGCAATCCGCTCCTGGAACCAGGATTCAGAGTAAATGCTTAACAAACAAGCAATGACCTCCTAAGGGCACTCCAATGTAGGGACTTCTCAGATATGTGTAGCAATGAGCTGATGGGTCCTATGAAGGTATCCAGGACAGTGTAGGTCATGGAACCAGGACTGAGAATACATGCTTAGCAAACGAGCAATGAGCTGACCACTGCAATAAGCTGATGGGATTCTGTGTAGGTTCTAGAATCCCAGATGGAGAGGAAACATCAAAATCTTGAGCTAGCAATGGGTTTCTACAGAGACTCCTACCGGTAGATTCATAGACTATGCAGCTGTGGTAGGTAGCCAAATGCCAATGGGGATCTATCCAAGGCGCACAAAGTGAGGTAGGTTCTAGCTAGAACCAGGATGTTCCATTTCTCAAACTATTGGAGTCCTTTTTGAATTTGTTCGTTTCATTGGGCTTGCTGCTTCTTCTTTCGTATGAACTCTGGACCAAGGTGAACATCATAGTTAGACTGGTAATTTGGTCACTTCAAGTCATTTGATGGTGTCCTCGTCACGGTCTACGAGTCCATGGTCGCCTTTTGGTGGTCTGAAGTCAGGATAGCCATGAATGATGTGGTCGATGGTTTGAGGTCTGCCGCACTGACACAGATTAGAGCTGGTGGCTCCAATGCTGTGGGGGAATGAGGCACTACAGCCCTGACCAATTCTAAGATGATTGAGTTGGACCCAGGCCTCATGAGGAAGATCCCAGCCTGCGGGTCTGAAGGATGAAGGCTGAATGAAGTCACGAGAGTCTTGTTGAGGCTGTTGACCAGGCTTCCTTCTACTGATTCAAGGTCCATGATGGGGAAAGAGGATGAGAGGTGATGATACGGAGTGCTTCTATGGCGAAGTGCTTGCGGTCGAGCCTGCTGCTGATTTGTGGATCAAAGATACAGGGCATTCGACTGTCTGGATTAAGGCCTTTCTGAGCAAGTTTTGCAGTCATGAAGTCACAGCGAATGTTTGGTGGAGCAATACCAGAGAGGATGGGTAGGTTGCTTGCTGGCGTGGGTTTTATGGGGCCTGCTATTCAGGTATCAAAGTGTTTTGTTAATATAGATATTTAAAATTTTAATACGTTGTCCTTGAGTAGAAGGAGTAAAAAGGAGGGAATCGTTGTCATCAACGTTTACGTTCCATAAAATTTGAATCCACAGGAAAAAATTATAAGTGCATTGAAAACACAGCATCTCAACACAATTTCATGAGTAATAAAGTTAAGTACAGTACATAGTTTTCAAACCAAATTTTTGCTGAGAAAAAATCAAACACTGGGTTGAATTTACTCACTTTTCTAACAGTTGGGGTATGACGAGCTCGGGCCTGACCCGGGCCATGTGTTGTAGTGCACTGGCTGCTTCCATACTGCCGATTTTGCTGTACATGGCTAGGAACACGGACGGCTTGAGACACTCCACAAAGGCAGTGATGTCATCATCACTGAGCTTGTGGGAGTCAGGGATGGGATGGACCCAGGTTGGTTTCTTGTACCGCTCCCTGGAGGAAAACAAAATACCGTCATTACGTAAACAAGGTGATCTGCGGATCGCATGTGTCACCTTTTTTCGCGGTCAATTCCTGTATGTTTTGTGTTCTAAAAAAAAGGTAAAATTTTGTGCCTTTTTAAACAATGACTTCAAATGACCCCTAGTGACCTTTGACCTCCAATTTTGGAAGAGTTGTCATAAACCCCCACCCAAGGATCACTCCATGAAAGTTACTTTGAAATCCATCAAACTCTGTAGATAATGGAACATTTGAAGCATATTTGAACAAAGACCCCTACATGACCTTTGACCTCAGTAATCCAGTGAAGAATTGTGTCTTCCCACCCCAGGGCACTGCATCTACCGGTACGTTTCAACAAAATCCACGAAAGCGTGCACCAGTTATGACTGTGGGAATCATATTTCGAGTCATCCAGACTGTGGTTTAATTGTGCCCATCAAATAATGGTGACATTCTCCAAAGAATGGAAGTTGCACGGTCTGTAGATCTGAGCTGTACTGATCTGAGCTGAAACTTAAATTCGGGCGATTCACAATGCAGTGCGCCACCAAGAGTTTGCCACGGAGAGTTCCTTTTTTCCCAGTGCATTGTGGGAGATGGTCGACAAATTCGCAGCGCGGGACATTTGAAATTGTTAGTTTTTCCGGTCAGTGGTTTCGTAAGCGTATGATCCGAGTATCTGTTTGCCCTTTTCTTTTTCTTTTTATCAATATGGTATTTTTTGTAAGGCGTCAGAACGCTATGCCCCAATCTATAACAAATTAGCTGAAGTTGTCTACTGACACTCATTCAAATGGGCCATGTTTTGTCGACCGTAAACTTGAAAAATAGACTCTCCATGGCAAACTCTTGGTGGCGCACTGCATTGTGAATCGCCCGAATTGTTGCAAATTCACTTGAGAAGCATAGGCAGGTCTTGATGACGGAACCAAAACACCTTTGCTTTGTGGCCTTATTTGGTTATTGTATGTGGAAATCACAACACGCTGCTGAATCCAACCAAATCTTTGTACCAATACAATCTTTCACGCAAAAGCAATGAACAAAAAAAACCTACCTGCGTAATCTTTTTATGAAAGCAGATGGTAGATGAGACAGGATCGGTTGCAATTTCAGCTGTAAAACAATGGGAATGAAAAATCACTGATAGTAAATTATTTTGGTTTCCCTTCACTTGATGAACAAAATATCAAGTCAGTACATTGGCCTCCTGTGTGAAAGGAATATCTTTGGCTCAATGTATGAGCACGTCCTGAACAAACTTGATTGTATAAGCATACGAATGAGCTGAGAATAGAAAATAGGGCAGTCCATTTTCGAATAATTTAGTCTTCGGTTACTTGAAACTGTGTTGGACCGAATATTCGGATATTCGAAAAGTTCTGCCAGCTGCAACTGCATGCTGCGCCGGTATACAAATATTGAGTGGCTCAGAGTGAAATGGGAGAAATATTATCGCAAGGTAAAATCTGGACTTTGCCGAGTGAACTGGAAAAGTCCAGATTTTACCGAGCGATAATATTCCTCCCATTTCACAATTTAAAGCCACTCAATATTTGTTTTATATAACTGACATATAGATCCTTGTCATTTGATATATTTGAACTTTTATTTCACTACAAAACTGGAGGAAAATGTATTTCTCTCTTCCAAAGCACCCCTTCGCGAAAATGTTTGAAACCCACTCTGTAGCGCTGGCTCTTTGGAACAATACAATGCTGAACGCGCACACCAGAATGCCTTTGCACACAAATACCGCATCTTGGAGCAAGAATGATCCTAAATGTTCAATAGTATTTCCCATTCCCCATGGGCGGATAGTACTTTTGGAGACCCGGTGTGAATGGGATTAATAACAAATGTGATGTGAGTTCCACCAATCAAATGACAAGGATATGTATGTCGGATATATAATGACAAATAGTTGCACGAAGAGTGTGGGGTGCTGGTTAAAATTTGCTTGCGGCAATTGATATGGGGCGCTGGCATGTTTTGCAGTAAGTGTTTTATAACTGTAGAGGGGCTTTAACCTGCCAAAAGGAAGAGTAGTTACAGTCGACCACAAAGTGGCACCTGACAATAAAGCGCTGCAACTTTACGATAGAATAACATCACAGTCATCGTGTGTGTAAGTGGTTGGTTTTTTATTTTTCTTCAAATATTCAAATCGGCAATCAGCTATTCTAGTATTCGGTTGATGATCAAATATTCGACTTTTCCTAACAGAAAATGCTTGGCAAATACCATGTACTAGCCAATCTGCTAGGCTTCAGTGTCTATACATCAGCTAATTTGGGAGCCTGAACAAATTTTCAAGGAGCTGTTTGTATTAAAGTTTGCTAAAAACAGAACACAAAAACAGGTTTTCGACCAAAGTCAAACAATGTGTACCATCGTGAGAGTTTCCAGCTTATTCACTGTTTCTATTTCGATGCAGCTCAATAAATCTTAGCCCTGATGATTTGAAGAAAAAAAGGGACAAATTCAAGGCAAGATCTTATTTCTCGCATAATGGCATGAATAGAGAGGCAAGCCAAGTTGGTTAAGATGGATTTTTGCGTCGGGGTGATATAAATCAAATTAGGTTTTGCCCTTCACCGACGTTTAAACACTGTATACTCAGTGTGTTACCTCCCAGTGAAAGTTGGGAAAAATCACTCGGTGGGACTCGAATCTACGACCTCCTGCTTTCTAGTGCAGACGTCTTACCACTCGACCACCAAGCTAACAGGATTGGTTGGCTGGTTCGAATCTGATGTACATAGCAGCGGGTACCGCATAAACTATTGAAGGGCAAAACCTAATTTGAAGTTGGTTACTGTAAGTGTTACAATTAATCAACCATTGCTCATGTCATGATATCACTTCATTATCACTTCTATATTATACAAATATTGAATGCTTCGAGTGGTGAGGTAAAACTAGCCTCCCAAGGTGATCCACGGACCATTCTATTTTCCCGAGGCGAAGCCGAGGGAAAATAGAATGGTCCATGGATCACCGAGGGAGGCTAGTTTTACTTCACCACGAGATAAAGCACTCAATATTTGTTTTATAACACTTCACCCACAGATTCTGCTTGATTTTAATATTTTACATTATTTAAATCTGAACACAATTGAAATTAACTTCAATTTCAATACAAAATTGGTGGGAAATGTATTTCTCTCTTCCAAACCACCTCTTCACGAAATGTTTGAACCCAACTCTGTGGCGCGCTCTCTTGGAAACAATACTCGCTACGCACAACGCGCAACGCGCACACCAGCATGCATTTGCACACAAATACCGCGCCGTGGAAATAGTACTTTGGTTGCTAATGGTATAGTACTTTGGTTGCTATGCACATAGAACTTTTGGCCGTGCACAGAGAGATAGCAAAATTAGAAAGTAACATGTGACTCGCTCTCGGCCAATCAAGACACAGAATCTGTGGGTGAGGTGTTATAAGAAGTATTATCCAGCGTTTGCAAAGGAGGACATGTGTGTCTTACTGTGTATTTGCCGATGTTGGAGGGATGGAAATAGGACTCCACAGCATTGAAGAAGTTGGACAGGTGCTCCTGACACAGCTTGGTGTTACCCTGGCAACAAGCAAAACAAACCAGCATTAAGGATAAATGGAGACACCATAAAAAAAATACAAGCATTTTGTTATGTATGTCCTAGGTATGAGGGCTGATAGATGTCCATGGCATTTTGACTCTTTGCATGCAACAAGCCTACATGTATGTATTGGATTAAAATTGAACCCATTAAAGGGAAAATACAACATTTGCAAACATCAAAAAATAAAATTACCAAATCATTTTGAAATACCTTGCTGGACTGTTAGTGAATGACAGTCTAAAGCATCCTGTAAAATCATGGCACCTGGTATACTGTCATTTTCAAGAAAAGTGGTATTTTTGTATCAATTTCCAACGCTGATTGGCCGACGAGCGTTGGAAAAAACTGGCTTTTTTTCAAATACTGGCCCGAATTGACCATTGCACTTGTTTGCAATCGATTACACACCTATGAACGGGTACAAGCCAGCTAGACTGGTTCCCTGACCTTACAATTCCCCAATGTATGTAAACTGCTCTGTTTCTTCTTATATGGAGTCAGGGAACCAGACTACAGGAACATTATTGTTTTTCTTGGTTTTTATAGCATTTTCGAACCCAAAACCTCAAAAAAGTCAGTGTTACTATATTTGCTATATATTTCCAACCCCCCAATTCCATCCATTTCTGAAAATTACAGCAAAAGCAAATGATGTATATTCCCTTTAAAGACAGTGAGCTCTATGAACTCTGCACATGAACAGTAGTTGGCGGTTTATGACCACTTTCAAGAGACCCAGAGGGAGGGTCACATGGTTTCCGCGCACTGGCTCACACACGTATGGCACTCAACTCATTATTCTGAGTGTGCACAAATCACAGACATATAATAAAACCTAGACACAACATTTGCTATTGCGCCTGTGAGCAAAATGCTACGTATACGCGAACGCCTCGCGTCGCGCAAGAAGACGGTCTCACTGCGTGCGTTATTTGCAATCTTTTGGTCCCGTACGCATGCGGGAAACAAAATAATAAGTGGTGCACAAGTGCATTGTGGCTGGCCTGAACATTTCTGGTATACGTATGAAGTATGACGTTAATCGAAGCCACATGATAATTCACGCTTCATGCCAGGCTGCGTGACGCAGCCCGTTTTGCTCACCTAATTTACAACGTAAAAGCAGTTAATGTCGTGTCTAGGTTTTATTATATGTCTATGGCACAAACCAGTTGCATCTTCGCGTGAGCGTCAGGCACTGTTGGCAATGAGTTCCAACGTTCGTTCCAGTGGTCTCTTTCAATTTTCTCTCTCTTTGTAACTGTCGAGGGCATACATGTACTTATACATGGAGTCCATACCCTCACATTTAAAAAAAAAATTGGGGTTGTCAGTTACGGGCCTTACGGCATTAATTCCATAGTCAAGGAGTAATAACGCAAAGCTATCTCAACACTAAACAGTATAACACAAAACATTTCAAACATGTTTAAACCCAGTTGCACTCACACGGTCATACCATCTCAGCTTGAACAATTTCAGCATTGTGACCTTTACATTATGACCAACTTTTCCCAAAATGACAAATCCATACATGTGACCTACTCAGGCAAAATGAGGCATGTCCCCCAAAACCTTGTATTGACTAATCAACGACTGAAGTTGGATATACTAGAAAAATCATGTCAAAGTCGATATTGATTGTTTTGTATTTTTGAGTACCAAATGTATCCAAGATTCACATTTTGCATTTTTGTTGAGGAAAATATACCCACAAAAGTGGAAAAACTGAAGAACTTTTTCATTGCCGTTGATGGCGCAATGCATGGGGTTTTTTTTTCAAAGCAGTTTTCCTCGAAATGTGGTTAGTGAAACTTGGCAGGACACTGTTGAAGATTCTGCATTATATCTTTGGAATAAATGAAGCTACAGAAATAAATTTGGAATATCATTGGAAAGCCAATGAGTTGCGCTTTAACATAATGTACATAACATAAAAAAGTCAAAGGTAGGGGTTATTCCTCATTATGCTATGGCAGGTCACATATTTTTTAGTTTATTGTAGATTCCATTTCATATGCTTTCTGAAGCCATTTTCCGACTTCCATTGTGTAAAAGAGCAGTTAGAGTTAACTAAAAATTCACAGTGGTTTGGAACAGTTTTTGAAGTGAGCAGCATTGCTCTTAAAGGTGATGTTTGAGGATTATGTGGACAATGTCTCAACCAAATTCAATATAATTGTTCAAATATCAAATTCTTTTAAAGTCAAGAAAGAATGACTTTCTGTAACAGATGTTTGGAACAGCTATGTGCCATGTGCAAGTGAAATCTGCATCAGAGTCATTCCAATCGTTGGTAAATCTGTGCTAAACACACCATCATGGCAACAATCCAAGTTGCGGTGACTCCAACTTCGAATCCTTTGATGGGACAGGTGGCCGGCAGTTTCTTTGCTCCGACAGGAAGGTTCAATCCGCGCATAAAGCGAGTAAAGATCTGAATTGGATGTGAAAACGGGTGGGAAAACAATTCTTACTTTCTATTCACAGTACCGGTATGTATATTTTAGAAGACTCCATTATTATAGTGTTAATTCTTAAGATGCTAAGTACCTAATATAAGGTTGTACGTGGAATTATGCACAACCACTGGCAAACTTGACCTAACTCATTTCGCTGTACAAGTACTCTAAGAAAGGTTTTCATTTTCACATTGACGGCAGTTGGGGACTTAATCTTTTTTCATTAAACAGATGGGTTTTCAACATCATCAATATCAACATGTTTTAGAAATTTCATCCCCCCAAGCCAGAAACATTCTCACGTCAAGCTATGATTCCACATAGAAATATAAAACCAGATACTAGTTAAATTACCGGTATCATATTCGACTGGAAAAAAGATAAAGACCATGTCAGATTTGTTTACAAAATTGCATAATGTGGTCACGAGATGCCAACTTTCAACTAACCGTTCTCCTCTGCACTACATGTGTATCTCTTGAAATATGAGTGGATTGAAAGTTGTGACAAACTATCCGTGTGTCCATATACAACTTGCAAAAGATTCATAAATGTTAGGGTTGCCTATTGGTTGCCTGTCGGTCGGACATAGTGGTGTAAATTTATGGGTACATAGCTTGGGAACCGGGTACCCTTTTGATAAAAAACATGGGTACCTGGGGACCATAACAGATGGTCTATCAAAACTGAAGACAACCCCCCAAAAAAATGAAACCTGGTTTATTCCCTCTTTTGACAGGAACTCTAGTCCTTAAAGGGAATATACAATATTTGCAAACATCGAAAAATAAAACTACCAAGTTTTTACGAAATACCTTACTAGGATGTTGGTAAATGACAGTCTCAAGCATCTTGTAAAATTATGGCACCTGCTGTGAAGTCATTTTCGAGAAAATAGTATTTTTGTATACATTTCCAACGGTGGTCGGCCGTTGGAAATGCTAAGACTGGTTCCCTTGCCTTACAATTTTCCATCATCTATAAATTGATCCATTTTATCTTTTGTGGAGTCAGGGAACCAGACTACTTGAACATTTTTGTTTTTCTTGGTTTTTCCAACCTTTTCGAACATAAAACTTCAAAAATGTCAGTGTGACAATATTTGATCTATTATACTAACCCCTCAAATAGTTCATTTCCGAAAATTACAGCAAAAGCCAATGATGTACATTCCCTTTAACAAAACTATAAAAGTGTGATTATTAGAGGTGTCAGAAGGGCTTTATAGCTTTACAATGTAATCATGGTAAACTGCAACTTTCAAGAGCATCATCTGTCACGTGTTAAAATGCTAAAAAAAACAACGTAAAATCTGCTTGGTTTCCATGTAGCCTGGTTTTCATTTCGAAAATCCCCCACAAATGGCATTCAAAACCTTTCTGTTTCATAGTCTGAGAAGTTACTTAGTAATTTGTAAAGTTGGTTTTGGGCACCTGATCCCTTAATCTGGAACTGGTTCCTGACATCAGCCGTCGGGAACGGTTCTGATGCACAACCCTAATCTGACATCTTAGGTGACATGGTCAATAGCAACTCAATTCCGTAAGACTTTTTTCCTGTGATTTCAAGGATGTTTAAAGGACGTGCAGAAAGTCTCACCTTTGCCATATAAGGCTCCCAATCGATGTATCCAATGTTGTTGTTGGCCACCCTTGAAAACAGCTCAACCAGTTTCTGACAAAGAACGAGAAAATAAGGTTAGGACATTCTTGATGAGCTTCTTGGCACAAGATCGTCATCTTCAAATTTAGAGAGTCTGCCTATTATGTCTAGATACTCCCATCATGCGAATGGCTTTTCTCGAGTTCTGTTCACACTTTGTATCTATCTGACAAACACCAAAGGCTATATTGTATCGGTCAGCATCGGTTTGCATAATTTCAACTGAGGTCGGCAGCAGATCCTGCCTAAAATGAAACATTGTGTATAGACCATAAAATACTGATACTCTGATTGAAGATAATCCCTTTTGAAAAAAATAATAAGTACTTGCTTTTGCAGATGATTATCAATATGTACATGAAAGCCAACCATAGGTTCGTAAAACCAATGGCTGTATAATGCAAAAAAAAGTTCTTTAAATGTTGCTTGAGGACCTACAGGTATGAGATTGGCACACCCATATATGTATGAGATTGGCAGACTATGTTCAGAGATCTAATCAAGTCAGTCACATATCACCAAAAGTCATCACAAATCAAAAGCAAGTCTAGTCTCAAGTCATAAGCTATTCAAAAGAACAGTGACATGGGTAATACTTTGTACTACATGTTATTTGTGCATCACCTGTTTGCTTGGGACTGACTTGTGACAGACTTGTACATTGACATGTGATTAACATGTGTTTGACAAGTGAACGACTTTTTCGATACAACACTGACTGTGATGGACACACTGAGAAGATAACTGACCTCTTCCCAAGTCATGCCGTTGTGTGGCGAGTCCCATATGCCAAGAAGCTCATCCAACCACAACCTGTACCATCAAACACAACATAGCCAGTTCATACCAGTTAAAAATGACACTTCACTTTTATAACTCCATCGGCATTTTTGCTACTTGAGCATTCACAAATCATCATGCCGGAAACTCATGGCAAATTCTTCTCCTTTAAACTTTCATACCACATAAACCCAGTGCAAGTTAGCCTCCAGTAGACAATTACTTGTCTACACTTTGTAATTACACATGCACCTATGGTAGTGTCTGAATCCACGGATCGTGTGTCACTGCCACTTATCAGACATTGTGTAGCAGGGGATGAAAACTCCCTTCATTCCATTGGAAAATTCTTCTAAAACCCACTAGTGATGAGAGGGATGTTAGAGTTAATGACGTTCTTTTAACATATGTCATCCACTGTCATAATGTCATCCACTATCTTAACCCTTGTGCTCCTTTCAAATCCATGAAGTTCTGAAAAAGATTGCCTCAAAAGCTAACTTGAAAAAAATAGGAAAAGCAAGGTACACTGCAGCACTTAAATGGTCAACAAAAGTAAAAGTGTGCATAATAAAAGTGTGCATGAGTTTCGTTGCCACAACTACTTCATCAGATGCAACTACTTCATCTGATAAAGCGGCTGTAGTTGTAGCCTACAAAAGCTAAATAAATGCAAATTTATTTTGTTGGAAATTTAAGAGCTACCTTACTTTTCCATGTGATTTTGCCCGACTCCACAGCTTCCCACTAATTTATAGTTTTAATAAACTGATTAATAAGAATACAAGGTCGCTTATCTGCAATTGACACATTTTGATGCAATGAAAAGTAATAGAGTAATATTTGTTAACTCTTTCAGTGCCAAACTCGTACATGTACGAGGTATATTTGTTAGTACAAAAGCGCCAACCTCGTACATGTACGAGGTAATGTTCGTGCTTAAAATCGCCAAACCTCGTACATGTACGAGGTAGAGTAAACATGTTATCAAAAGGGGGCGCTCTCGCTCTTTCTAATGGTACCATTTTCATGCATGTACAAATTTATTTTTATATCGAGTTCTTGTGAGAGGGCGTCACACTGAGTTTCGACTTGTTGACAAAATGGCGGCGCCCATAAACCGAGCTCGCGTGTTATCTCCACAGAAAAAAAGTGTATTTTTTTGCCAATTTGGACAGGGAAAGGGATTACTTTTCTGATTCAGAATAATCCATGGATATTTCAGAACTGGATGGCGAGTCAGAAGACGAACATTGGGATACCGATACAAATGATAATGATGGTGCTAAAAGTGACAATCATGACAATATTTATGATAATGAACAGAGTTTGTATGAGGAGGGGTATCAGACGCGACACACGTATATTCTGCAAAAGTGCGGAATTCCCCTGTGTTCAGGAGAGTGTTTCAGGGTTTATTACTAGGTGCATGACTAATATTGACTTTTGAAGGTAACAAGAATATACCAGAGAGCAAGATACAACAAGTTTGGTGATTACAACTTATTTACTTTTCTTTTAATAGAATTTTGAATAATTAAAAAAAAAGCTCGAAGTTGGGCACTTTAGGGTTAAACTTTTGAAATGTCGCGGGCACTGAAAGAGTTAACAGGTATCACCTTATTTAACCTTATTCTCCTTAAAAAAAATCTATGGTTCAATAACAAAAGATACTAGACAAACATGTAAGAAATTTGAAAACAAATAAAATAAAAATAACAAATGAAGAAGAAAGAAAATGACAAGTGAACTGACTTGAAACCAAACTGGTGTTGTTCTGGTGGTAAGAGAGTAGGCAGGAACAGCTCCAGGTAAGCAATGCCTTTATTCATGGACTCATCAAATGGACAGAGCAATGGTCGCCACTCATCCAGCATCTCCTGGGTACTCTCCACTGGGAAATATCTGATGGGGAAAACAGTGGGTGAGATTATAGACACAAAACCTGCACACACACAATGAAACAGCACAATCAATTTTGATCTGTCACAGGCAAAATGTCAAATTCTTCAATAACCTAGAATGCCCGTATACTTCAAAATAGTGTCGAGTATATTTCCGTGAGTACGAGTACTTTGCCATTAGTATGAGTATGAGTACCACGCCATGAGTTCAAGAAACATGCTCGATTGGAAATAATTCGGAAGCCGCTGGCCTACGAATGTGTGTTCATGCATGAGTCACATGACTGTGCCATGTACTTTATGGATCGAAGGGGTAGTGTTCAGAGTAAAAATGTCATTTTTGTGACCCCATGATGACCTTTGACCCAAGTTTGGCAATGGGACATGTTGGAGCTGGGCTACTGATACTTTTGACAAAGTTTAGTTGAAATCGGTCAAAATATGTAGGAGCAATAGACAATGTCAATGTTTGTTACTAACTAACTAATTAACTAACTAACTAACTAACTAACTAATGGAATAACGGAGAGACACAATGATTTGTTGAGCTGCTACATTGTATTGCGCAGTTACAAACAATTTTCCGATGAGTACGAGTACACTTTGATGAGTATAAGTATGTGTAGGAGTACTTTCAAAAGGATGATAGGTATGAGCATATTTCAATTGGTATACATGTACAAGAATTTTTGCTGTCAAACTTGTCATTAGACAAATGCAATTTCCTCCCAAACAGTAGAAAATTGCTTTATTACTGCAAGTACCTCTCAAAGAAATAAAAAATCCAGCGGGAGAACATTTCTATGAGTACAAGTGGGTCATTCCGTAAACTTCAGGTCCAAAAGTGTGACTTTTTTAGTCCCTGTTGCACGTGACCTGTGCAATTTGCCATGTAAGCATCATTAAAATGGACTTGTTTCAGTTTTTTTTCTTTTTGTTTGGTAGACACTTTGCTCTTGGTATGCTTGGAGATACAAGGCATTAAAGAATGTAACTTAAATTTGATATCAGACGTAAAAAATCCGATATCAGACGTTACAGGGACAAATTTACAGAATGACCCAAGTACAAGTACAAGCATTTTGCCACAAGTACATGTATGAGAACAAGCACAGGTACTATTTTGCTTGGGAGTGCGATAACATTCTCATGAGTACACGTAGGAGTAGGAGTTTTAAAAATTCACTTACAATGTAAGTACGAGAATGAGGCAAAAAAAAACCAATTAGTTCTGCTTCCGATTACACAGCATTTGAAAATAAAGTAGGAAGGCAGGGATTTTTATTTTTTTTGCAAATTTGTTTGGTGTACTATCATATGGAGGCGTCTACCTGTAATCAAGGGTAAAATGTAAAAACTGATGGTTTTTGGTGTTTTTTCCTCATTTTTCCCATAAAGAAAATTAAGGTAGGGCTGTCAGAAAAGGGTACATGTAGGTAGGGAAACCGGAAACAGAACTATTTTTTTTTGGCCTGAGTACCAGTACAAGTACTAAAATACAACACCGCTTCAAATTTGGAATGAGCACATCCATTTATATTGGGACACAGGAAGTTGAAAGCAGGACGTTGAAAAATTGAAAACTGAAAGGCTTTTTCTCTTCAGGTTTTTGGGTAAGCAGCCTGATGAAAGCAAAACTGTATATTTTTTTTCCTCTCTTTTTTAATAGACCAGGGAGGATAGTTCCAAGCAACTTACTGCCTCGCAACTCTCACTACATTCTTCACGTTTGCTTCTATGGTCCTGCAAAGGAAATAAAAGCATTTCATTAAACTTTTTTCAAATGAAAACATTCTGTGAAGTTTAAGACACACACAAAAACACCCAAACTTGTCAGTAATAACAAATGTTATTACTGACAAGTAATAACATTTGTTATTCGTCTGTTCAGCGACAGTCTGACATCAGGTTGGCGTATGGTGAGTCAGGTTGGTGTAATGGGGAGTCAGGTTGGCGTAGCGGTACTTTCCTCGCCTTCCACCGCTGTGACCCGGGTTCGAATCCCGCCTGGGCCAATATGTGGATTGGGTTTTCAGTCCCCGCCTGATTCCGTGGGTTTTCCCAAGAATATTCTTCCGGGCTTTTCCTCCCACCTCTAAAACTGTAATTTCTTCTCATTGTCTTCTCTCCACAGGTTTCTTCAGGCTTGCGAGCTACAGTGCCTTGGTCGCTTTTGAGGAATCCTTGGTTTCATTAATACCAGGAATGATTAATAATAATAATAATAATGTATTCTTTTAAATGTAGGTTCACACGTAAATGATAAGGTTGTAGGATGTCTCATTTCAGTGCAAAACAACTGGATCACTACTTTGAACTATCAAAGTCAATAAAAAATGAAATAGTCAAGTCAGATTCTATCTCACTGACTAACAGACTGTTTGGAAAGATAACAAATGTTCCAGCTATCATATTTTTAAGTCTTCTACGTTGTTTTGGTACATGTAAATGTGTGTAACAAAGTACATTACATGTATTTTTACATGTATACCTGATGAGTATATAGTTACACAATCAAGCAGGAAAATAAATGGAAAGGTCCTTTACCTGGGAAACCAAGCCAGACCAAGATCCTCATACTGAGAGCACAATACCCGCTCCACCAATTCGTACAAAGGTCTCCATTGTAGCACCAAATCATCTCGGGAAAGTAACTTACGCTTTCTGTGAGTGAACAAACAAACAAAAAAGAATCTGGTGCTTAGGACAGGTTAATAAACAAGCAAGGTATCGGTACAATGTCTGTATACATGTAACGGGGTAAGTTGGTAGGGCGATAACAAGTTTTAGCCAGTAATTACAAGATGTTGATGAAGCTGATCTGCAACCCTCCAGCACAAAAACCAGTCCCTTGGACAATTTTTGAAAACTTGGATTTTTGGCTCATTTCAAAGGGCATTGAATGAAAGCTTTCCAATGATACATAGAATACTGGAATTGGACAAAATCTGACAGAGTTATAGGTACATTGTATGCTCAGTTTCCTAGAAAATGTACAAATTCACTTTTGTTGAAACCTATTCTAGTCTCTAACGCCTCAATCTGAATTTCACTTATTTCGGCCTGTACAATGCATTATAGGCTGTACATGTATCTCTTCCTTAGACCTGTACAAAATGCACTATTTTGGAGTACCTAATATTCAAAACACAATGTCCATCTCTGCTCTCTACATGTAACAGGTACAGTTTTAATTGAAGGGCTTTCTGAGCATCTTTTGCTCGTAAGTAGCGCTCTAGGCTATTTTGAGCACCCACTTTTGTTATACATGTACACTGAATAAATATTGGCTACTTGAACAACTGTTTCTTAAATTTAAGTCAGATTTGGGCATCCAATTCTCAAATGCTGTTAAGTACCCAACTCACACGCATGATCTCCATGGTGGAATAGTCAAAAGATAAAAGTCACATACTCTTCAACCCACTGAACTGAAGTGAAATCCACAATCTACAGAATTTACTTGACAGAACTGATGACAAAAATCACATACCTGAGAAGTCTACAGAAGTTGGCAGAAAACTTGTCAATCAGGGCCAGCTCTAGGTCAGGAATAATAATAAGTTCATACAGCAGCTTGATCAAGAAGATGTGGTCCTCCTTAGAAAACTTGTGGCCATACAGCGTCATGTACCTGTGTGGAAATAATACATGTACATGCTGTAATGGCATTATGAGCAATTGAAGCAAAGTCTACGGAAACGTGCCTTGATATCATATCTTTTAATTTTCTTACAATTTTGGCAAAATTGTGTCTCACAGTGATCACTCGAAATCAAATGAGGCCTTGCTCTGCACCTCCACACCTCATACACTCTTCTTTGATTGATGGAAATATGTGCCCCATGAGAAATTGTTTTTAAGTGAAAAAAAAACTTGATTATCCCCCCCCCCCCCACTCCACGCCTCCCTAAAAAACAGCCCCTTCTTATGATCCTGTCCTGGCATACCCATACCTGGCCATCACTTGTCACCCTGTGCACAAACCCTATGAGACTGGTCTGGAAAATTTCTATTCTAAGTGTTTTCTCAGTTTCCACTTCGGAAAATTTCCACATCTGGCCATCACTTGTCACCAGGTGCACAGTAGTAGTACAGTCGTTTTCCTAGTTCTGGTTTTTTCCTAGTTCCGGATCGCTTCAAATAAAAACCTATTTCTTTTGAATTAGTCTCCTATACATTTTTTATGACGGAGTGCATTTCAAAAAGGAATATAGCCCAGCAGATATGTGACAAAATATCGATGAATTGTGCACTTTTGCATAAAAGTGTGAAACTTGGCACAGACATGACAGATGTTCATATTCATGTCAGAAAATGTTTTAGATGTGGAGCCATCGCAAATTCACCCTTTCAGGGGCGTGGCATCCATTTAAAAAAAGGGGGGGGACTCATCATGCCTGCAGTGAAAACGGTTGTTCCCACTTGTCACAAAAGCAGGAAACTTCAAAAAGATATAATATTAATATATAGATTGTAAGTGTTTTCCAGATTCGGAGCCACCACAAAAGTACCTTTTTGGGGGCGTGTCAGCCGTTTAAAAAAGGGGGGGGGGTAATTATTATAATGCCCACCTTGGGAAAAATTGTGCCAAGATTTCATGAACGAATAAAACGTCCCACAGACATTTATATAGAACACACCCTTTTAGGGGTGTGGCAACCGTATTAGAAAAAAAGGGGGGAGGGGTTCATTATGCCCACCATGGAAAAATTGTTCCCATGTTCATAGAGAAATGGAACTTTCCACAGACATTGACATTCATAAGAAAAAAAAGAATCCAGATGTGGAGCCGTCGCGAACACACCCTTTTTGGGGGCGTGGCAGCCATATTGAAAAAAGGGGGCCAGGTTTCTCATTATGCCCTAACCATGGGAAAAATGTGCCCACATCTCATAAACGAATGAAGCTAATTCCCACAGATGTTAATATTCACACACACAAAATTCAGACGTGGAGCCATCTCAAACACACCCTTTTAGGGGCATGGCAGCCATAGTAAAATAGGGGGAGGGGTAGTCATGATTGATGCCCCTATAAAAAGTTGTGCCTTAACCTTTCATAAATGCATTAAACTCCACACAGACAATATATTCATGAGAATCTTTCTTTTTTCGAATGTGAAGCCATCATAAACTACTTACCCTTTTAGAGGCGTGGCATCCATTAAAAAAAATGGGGGGGTGCTACTTATCATTTGCCCACCATCATGCATCAAAACTTGTGCCTACCTTTCATAAATGACTAACCTTCACAGAAACTTGGTGAAAGAAATTAAATTCAGATGTGGAGCCACCACAAACTCATCCTTTTGGAGGCGTGAGGGGCCTACTCACTGTGCCCACAATTGAAATTTGTATATTTTGTGGCTGATACCGGGTATCTTATAATGGTGATTGGCCCATACATTATTTGGTAACACTGTAAGTTACACCACAGAGCATGGGTAAAGTACAGGTACCGACTACCTACTTCTGAAATCAGAAGGCTTCTCTCTGTCAGCTGACGGAGAGAAGCCTTCTGATTTCAGAAGTACCGACTACCGGTGCCTATTTTATTATCATGCACATATATCTAAATTCCAGATTGATTTCATAATTACGAATACACAGCACACAATTTGTAGCCCCAAACTGTAACATGTAACATTTATGGGCCAAGGAAATCCTTTTTTTTACAAATGTTTTACGGGGGGGGGGGTCATTTGACGCCTGGGGCGCTGTTTAAAAAAAATTATAATCACATTTTAATTTATGGCCATTTCAATACTGAATTGACTTTCAATCGTTTCTTTTGAGGACGTATTATCACTTTCTGATCACTGATGGCTGATAGGTCACTGGAGGAAAAACAAATTAGTGATTGCCAGATATAGGAACCTTTCCCAATTGAAAGTATCCCATTTCTTACGTGTTCAACCGGGCAACCCAGTACAGCGCACCAGGCCGCAGTTCTCGCAGGAGGACGGTACGGGCCAAGTTTCCCTTGATTTCCGCTAGCAGCTTGTTCGATTCATCGTCAATGTCGTCGGCATATGGAAGAAGTTTATTATACACAACTTCGTGCTGAGGCTTAAAACCAAGCCTCAGCTCTCTGTCACTTATCGACTCCATTCTTGAAATGATCAATATTTCGTCTGGTGTTTTCTGCAAATGATAAGAAAATCGTTCAATTTCTGGCACATCATCGTGAAATGCAGTTCTCAGTACGCCGCCATGTTGAATTCCTCCTGTTCGATTTTTGCATGGTGGGTGTCGGCAAACCTTCACAATAAATGTAATCAATTTCTCCTTATTAATAACGACATCATCCCATTCTTATGCGTGAATACATTCATGACGCAGAAATCTAAGAGAAAATAATCCAAATTACATTTATCTTCTTCTTTTAAAAGTTTATCCACATTATTTTTATTCCCTATGTGTTGAGGAATTTACCCATTATTGAAATAGTCCCGTCCACTAGCTGCGTGAATAATCATTTTGGAAACATGACATGATGGCGGCGAGAGCGTCGTCTGCGTTGGTTTCTGTTGATTTTGAGATATTTGGCAAAGTTCAGGGTAAATTCTGTTTTACATAAATGTAGGCTCTGTTGGCACACGTGGTGGATAATGAATTATATTTATAAAGAATTTACGTTAATAATTTTAGTTTAGTTTATCAGGAACAGAAAAATCTTGGAAAATAACTAGCTTTCAATAGTGCTTTACCCTTGGCATAGCTTGGTTACAAATTTGTTTATTTGGTAACGTGGTTAAACTTACTGTTTTTTGGATGACATCTGACACGCATTTTTCTCGGTTTTGTTTATAATTCTTCACGCCCAAGAAAAAAAAAACAATTAAGAATAAGATGTGCCATACAATGTCATGAATGTATACATGTCTAAATATGTACATGTATGTAATCATGAACGTCGGAGTTCTGTAACTGTAAACAGTAACAATCACATTTCTGATGAGCTTCTCTGAGCATGACTGCATGGGTGTCACTTTACCAGATAAATCACTTTACCAGATAAATTCAAACCTGTTTTAGCTATCCGATGCAAGGCAAGACTTAGCCCCACTCTGTGACCAAGATATAAGACTCATCCGTGTCCTTTGAAAATGCAACAGTACAGTCATTGACAGTGGACAAATGGATGGGTCAATATGGAGAAAGAATGACTTTTGAACATGTTGAAGCAATTAACAGCGGAATATTTCTAAAAATGATTCGGAGGAGGGGGGAACGGGGATCAGTTTCATATATAGGCAGAGCAAATGTTTGGGTGCTTCCTACCTTTTTCCATTCCCTGCAACCCCCCCCCCCCCCCAACCACCCCCACCCTACCACCCCCCCCCCCCCCCAAAAAAAAGAAGACACACTCAGTCATGATAGGGGAAAAAAGGGTAATTACATGCTGCATGTACACCCTCTGTATATTTCAAATTCCTTAGCAGAATAGAAAGTAAAAGTGTATTTTCATAATATTTTGTTTGTTTATTTTTGCAGGTGTGTTCTTCCGAAGAGTAAGTGAAACCTTCTTTCCCTTTTGTAGTTCCTGCTTTGCCTGATTCACACTAGTCTGATGAATTAACTGCAGGAAAACAAATGAGCTTTGGCTTTATGTATTATCTCTTTTTGCTACCCCATCCCCAAGTCCCAATAAACCACTATTAACTTTTTACTTTAAATAAAGTACATTTGTTTTACAGTTAACTGTTTTCCTTTCCAGTTAACTTTTGTCATTATACTTTGTTAAATATTAATTCGTAAATTTGTACCGAAATAATTGTTTTTTAAATGTCCAGTTTATACTTAAAATTAATTTGTAAAAAAAAAATAATGTTGTGTATTCGCAGGATACAAAGAGGACAGCTGATCTCTATGGGCTGGTAGGCTGGGTGAGGAACACCAAGAGAAGCACAGTCGAGGGTCATGCACAGGGACCTAATGACAAGATCAAGCAAATGTGTGTACCTCATACCTTGTAGATTATGACCTATAAGAAACTTCCTCATCAGCTGGGCATGACGAGAGTGGTATGCTGCCTAGGGGGACTGGTTTACCCAGCTGATCATTGGTAGCTGACTACCCTGCAAATATGTGACGATAGTCCATTTTCTATGTTTTGAAGTCCCCAATAGATAAACAATGCAGTATCAGAAGAAAATATTTCCAGTTAATGTGTGATCTCTGATATCATCATTGTTTTTATTGACAGTTAGACACTGGATAATGTTTGGCCATTTACTGCATTTATCCAAACAGAAGAGGATGTGCTCAGTCAGACTGGCTGAACAAGAAGAGAAGTCACAGACCAAAATCTTAATTTCCAGAACCTCAGTCTGAAACCTTATTTCCTGATTGCTTATTTCATGTGAACATTTCATGTGTTTTTGTTTACAAAACTCATAATTGTTTAGTGTTTGAGGAATGAATACTCATCATATGACACCTTGTAAGGCAGATCAAATTTATTATAGGTCTCTCTAGATGGCCATCTCTGTAGAAGAACTGCAACTGCGCAGTATTAAAAATATTCCAAAGCGCGCTTGTTGCTTGAAATGTGTTCGAAATACGACACAACCAATGCGCGCTATGCAAGTTCATGCTCAAAATGCCGATGCTCGTAGCTGGTCTGGTGGTAATGACGTCATTTGAGAGACCTATAGCAGAACAGAGATGATAGACTGAGCATAAATATTTTGGGCAAATTGTACCCTCTGCTGTAGTAGTCCCCTTTTTAGACAAAGTAACGCATTCTATTGCAACATAATACTCCGGTGTAATTTTGAATAAATATTCTTAGCAACATATTGTCAATTTGTCATGACAGGAAGACTTGGCTTCAGACTAAAGGTAGTCGTCGATCACACATCGAAAAGGCAGATTTCAAGAATCAGAAAACGATTGAAAAATTGGACTATACAGAGTTTAAAATAATCAGATGAACGTTGATAGCCACAGTATTACTTTGTAGATAAAATTGTGTACATTTTGCCTTGTATGTGGAGTTAAAGTTATACTTTCTTTTTGTTTGTGAGGGCATGAGACTTCTATATTTTACGTATTCAAATGCATTATTTATTGAGTAATCTAACCATTCAATGTGCGTTTTAAAGTACATGTAGTCAACTTGAATTGTATTAACTGCAGCAGTTTATACAGTGACTTTCTTGATGAGGGCCTTGTATCATTATTTTTTGAAACTATATGTACCTGCACCATGCATCTTGTTAAGAGTGCTGGTGTGGACAAATCCATTGTACCAAAAATACCTGGTTTTATCTGCCAATTATTGCAAACCTAATGAAATTATCTTGGGAACTACATGTAAGAACCATTGATATGGAAAATTTGATTCCATCAAAATCCTTGATGGGGTTAAAATCTCAAAATATGTGTACGTTTTTCCAAGTACCAAAACAAGGTACATTTAACAGGCAAATATGCCGCCAGTTTCCATTTTAGACATGTACATACATTTGTAGCAAAATGAAAATGTGGACAGTCATAAACTGGATGTTGAAACAAACAGGAGGGATAACTGTATGGCAGGATGTACTTGATTCCATACCGTGTTTTCCACTTCTATGACAGGATGCAATGTATATGTCTAAAGCAAACATAAAATGTTAACAAATGGAAAGTGAAAACTTGCTTTGTTTACGACACTCTTTTCAGTAAGCCCAATTGTGTAATACATGTACAATGCCTGTCAAGCCCATAATTTTCTCATAAATTGTCTTTATTGATGTTAAACATTAATGCTTTTTTATTTTGAGGGGTATTCCATCTAACAGAAGGTGAGGCTTACATGTATACGACAAGTGTAATGGAAGCCTCTCACTGCCAGACTGGCACTCCACATTGTGTTTAGAGCAAAACAGTAAACCCGAATAAAATCTGGTTACAGATGTGCACTTCCATGTTCTAATTTTGAGTTGACTGGACCCTGGCCATTTAGAGTGACTGCAAAAGTTGTTGTTATGCGTATAGTTGCTCCTTGAACTTGATTCTAATCTCCAGAACAATTAAGCTCACCACGACTCTGGAAACCAGTCTGAACAGGTGTAGGAACTGTTCAAATGAAACAGCCTTTAACTTTTAGGCCTCCCCCCATAAAAAAATAACTTTTCTGTCATGTTCACAAAGGAACAAGTGCTCGTTTCAATTCCCGTGAGACGTTGGTATCTGCTTATTTGCCTTGTAAAGACATTGCAGGAAAAAAACAATTTTAGGAGAAACACATTGTTTAGGTTTTGAAAAGCTGCATTTGATTAATAATCGGGTGCTCACTGCCGTCCCTCAAGCACTGACATAATTTAAATGAAATAACCACTAGCGTGCGTATGTGAACATAGCTTATGACATAAATGGCTCATAAAAATGCATGTTGCTGACAGAGTAGTAGAACTTAGTCATGGGGCCTGAATGAATAATAAGAGTTTAGGAAAATAAAAAAGAAGTTTAAAACTTGACAAATGGATTTTGTATTTTTGTGTGTAAGAGTATTATGTGTAGAATATTCCGTAACCTGTAGTTCAATTTCATGCCGAGCTTATGGACTGACATACTGAGGAATGTTGGAGTAACACTGGACTTCAATAAATTGAATAAAATTAATTTTATTGACTCGCTTCCATCTTTGTCTGATAGTCACACTATGTGAAAAACTGTGGGCCGGGTTCCCGGATATTAACAAAACATGCTTGCAAAAGCATTTATTCATGTTTGTGACTAGAGTAACTAGCGTCACACAAATGGGTTGGACAATGACATTTACATTATACCAGAGGGAACTTCCAGCTGAACATGGCAACCTTTTGAAACAAACTGTATCATGAAACTCTTCTGCTTGAATGTGGCCCCGTTTGCTTTTTGTAATGTTCTAGCAAAGTAGGAAACTTATTTCAGATTTGAAGGACTGTTCAAATGACTGACAGTTTTTTCTTGGCAGTCAATGGAATTCACAAAAGAAAATATACCTAATTCACAACTGAGGTTAGCGAGATCAAACAGAAAACGCCTACACGTACTTGGGGGGGGGGGTGGTTGGATGAAGTATCCTGTTTTACAATACATGAGGGAAGATTCACACTGATGTTGAATGCAAATGTTCCAATGTGGTTAAATTAAACGAGGCAAATGTGCCATCCGTTCACTCATCATCAGCACATTGAGCGAGTATGCTCATGTGGTGGTGTCCCACACAAAAAACCTCCCATGAATGGTCACAAGGTGCAATCTACCTTACATGCAGAGAGTCCATTGGCATCAGCATTTCAAGTTTTCTTACATGGTGAGTGTAAATATACTCCAACCTTGACAAAAATTGTTTTCTGAGCAACAGTATGACTGGAGACAGGCCGCTTTGGAGAAACAATGAACATTTTCAAGCAGTAACTTTCAATTAGAATTCACAAAAAAATTTAAAATAAGTCTTGAAAATCCAAGGTATGACACTGTTCCATTCAGGAGTTGACATCAGACTAGATGATTACGTGCACTTCGGAGGAGGGAGATTTTGGAGTCTATTTTGGTCTGGTGAGTGTCGCTTTGCCCGTTTCACTGTGAAAGTTTCATTACAGAAGCCACACCTGCAACGACACAAACAGAAAAAGGGGAAATGTTACTTAAAAAAACAACTGAATATTCTGTTCTCTCTAAAGCACCCAATCAATTTTCCAACACAAGGCTCTGGAACCCTTAAGATCATAAAAAAAATTAATAAGTACCTTAACCCTAACAACCCAAAATCCATCGAACTCCATCCCCCCCCCCCCCCCTTAACCATTATTGCTTCGTCCTTCGGATGGGACGTAAAGCCGTAGGTCCCGTGTGTTGTATAATGCCTAATGCACGTTAAAGAACCCAGTACACTTATCGCTAAGAGAAGGGGTTCGCCCCGGTGTTTCTGGCAGTGCGATTATCTTCAGTCATGAAGTCTGCACTTGTAAGGAAGGAAGGAAGGAATTCAAATCCATGTAGCTTGTAATTTGACTTGGGACTGGATGACTTGTGATGGAATTGAGGACTTTGGATGGATTTGTGAGGACTTTTGATAGACTTGTGATAGACAACACTGACTATACTTACTTTCAAAGTTGATTTTCTCTGTGATGTTCTTGGTCTTGATACTCTCCTCTTGTTGAGCTATAAATACACGGTTTCCTTCCAGTGGTTTCCAGCCGTACTTGTTCATCCACTGGTTGAGTTCCTGGTCACTGAGATACCCTAGGAGGTCCCCCAGCTGCCGCCGGTCGATAGTTTGGTAGGTGATCCTCAGAATATGGCAGATGTCTGAAGTGAACAAAAAAACATGATAAACTTCAGTTTTTGTCAACACTCTACAAATGTATCCATGTTGAAGATATATTATACAAATATTGAATGCTTCGAGTGGTGTAGTAAAACTAGCCTCCCGAGGTGATCCATGGACCATTCTATTTTCCCGAGGCGAAGCCGAGGGAAAATAGAATGGTCCATGGATCACCGAGGAAGGCTAGTTTTACTTCACCACGAGATAAAGCATTCGATATTTGTTTTATAACACTTCACCCACAGATTCTGCTTGATTTTAATATTTTACATTATTTATATCTGAATACAGTTGAAATAAACTTCAATTTCAATACAAAATTGGTGGAAAATGTATTTCTCTCTTAAAAACTAACCACAAAAATGTTTGAACCCAAGTCTGCGGCGCACACACCAGCATGCATTTGCACACAAATACCGCGCCGTGGAAATAGTACTTTGGTTGCTAATGGTATAGTACTTTGGTTGCTATGCACATAGTACTTTTGGTTGCTATGCGCATAGTACTTTTGGCCGTGCACAGAAAGATAGCAAAATTAGAAAGTAACGTGACTCGCTCTCGGCCAATCAAGACACAGAATCTGTGGGTGAGGTGTTATAAACTTCCTTATTTTACATGTGAATTGTTAAATTAATCATTGAAATCCACTGGCAGATGACATTTTGTAAGAGTTTTTGCTAGACTCAGTTTATTTTGGCTTGTAGGTGTAACTAAACACATTAACCCTAACAGAACTAAAATCATCAAACCCCAACGGCATGTTTTGTTGGAAATCTGTCAGAATGGGTAAAGTACAACTGACAGTCTTTTACATTGGGTTAGCACACCTCCAGAAGTCAGAAATATGTGTGTGCAGTTTCCCATATGGCGTTGGAATTTGCCAGGATGGGTATGGTTCCTAGTAAGTCATGCTGGGGAGTTAGGGTTAAGAAATAAAGTCAAGGACAGTAAAACACTTTTGTGCATGTCACTTAATAGATACAGATTTGATGAAGTTCAATACTTTCCATGCCAATGAATAAAACTACTGCAAACTGTTTACTGACTGGATTGACCTAAATTATACAAATCTAAAAAAAAACATTAGATGGCTTAATGTTTTGGTTCTCTCAAAGGCAAAATGACATTTGTACAGGAAAAAAACAAGTAAGGGACACACATGCCAGGCATGCAACTGGGAAATCACAAAAAAAAGAGGAAATTCACATTTTTCCCAGACTTTGTACAGTGTTTTTCTATTTTCAGTGGCACACATGGGAATTAAAAAAAAAAAGGAAATCAGCCGATCCGAGGAAAAGTTGCATGCCTGACATGCATGCAAATTTGTCAACATGAATTCAGATATTTTAAGCATAGAAAGAACATATCGTAATCATGAAAATACAAAAACTGACTTACATTTTCTAATTGAATCTTTAAAGCCTGCAATTCCCATGAATAACGTACTTGTTGCTCCATCACACTCACTCTGAAAATAAACAACAAACAGAAACACTGATTTCAACAGCATCAGACATCCTACAAAAAGACCCTCGATATACTGAATAATATTAATAATAACTTATGTACCGTAATTTTCGGAATATAAGCCGCGGCTTATACGTTGATTTTGCCCATGAAAATGTTTACTGCGGCTTATACACAGGGCAGCTTATACGCCGAGCCTTGAAGAATAAAAATGAAATTCACATGTGTATTTAATGTACATGTACTGGTATAAGAAGAGATATGTTGCTGAAATGAATTATCAATTAAGAAAGTCATTAACGAACCTAAACCACGTGCCACGTAAAGGTGCCGAGCGGTAAAAAGTACGGTGAAAGCTGTCTTCGATCGACGCTTGCAACAAGCCGTACGTGATTCTATCTAGTGCTGGCTTTCCCCAGCGGACCACACCATTTGAGGTAATATAGGGGTGTACTATCTTAGAAACAATAATTACCAACATTTCCGCTGTTTAAAAAAAGAAAAAAAGGCGACTCATACTTTTTATGGTGTCCGAAACATTTCTTTAGTCGATAATCAGTTGTTCAACTTCACAATATAATTTTTGTACTTGAAATGTATTCAAGAAACGATGTAAACCTCAAAACAGGGACTACATCACCCCTTACAAAATTAATGGATTCGTCCATGAAAATGGCAGCATCGTTTTGACTATTTTCGAAGAAAGTTACGATCGAAACTTGAATACTGCTCGTTAGTAATCACACAAATTTGATAAGTTTTGAGATAAAAACGGACCTGTATATTTTTAGGACAAAACAAATCAGCATCTGTTGCCACAAAGCAAGATTTGTACGTAGCGCTCCAGTCAGACAACACACGCAATGGGGGAAAATCACGGTGGGTTGCATACTCTCTCACGTGCTGCAGGAAAATGTTGTCCTAGGCCGGCCCGCGCCGGGCGATGTACGGCCGGGGAACGGACGGGGCAGCCGGCAGCAATTCCCGGTGATTATTTCTCATCATCAATTTCCACATTTGTTTGTGAGAGTATCGATTGTAAATGATTTGATACAACTTTTGTGGCCCTTTTTATAGCTTCTGTAGTGTAAATGGAATTGGTTCAGAGCATTTTGGCTAGAATTTGGAGGCCTTACAAAATTGAAACCGCTGCCGTCGGTGCGGCTTATACGCCGGTGCGGCTTATACGCCGACTTCAAATCTTAATTTGCAGATATTTGCGTGCTGTGGCTTATACGCCGCGCGGGCTTATATTCCGAAAATTACGGTATTTATATTGTGCAAATTCCATATGAATATGTTCAAATGCGCATCATTTTATTATTACCGTTCATCAGGAATGAGATTCTGCTGGAAGTGTTGCTGGAAAATAGCACTTTTTAATATAAATGCTATTTGTTAGGTGACACTAAAAAAAAAAACTCAAAACATTTCCTATCTCAATGGCATGATCAAAAGATATGAAAAAAAAAAAAATGGGGAAAACTTCAGTTTTTTCCTGATGCACACAATTCCATCAATATAAAATTGTATAGAAATGTACATCAGGCATGTAACTGGGAAGTTACCCCATAAAAGAGGAAAGGCCAAGTTTTACAGGACTCTATACAGTGATTTTCAAATTGTAATGGCCTAAGTGTGAAATAAAAAGAACCCTGAGGAAATCAATCGATCCAAGGAAAAAATGTATGCCCGATTTATGTGTGCTTGGCTGTCAACGTGCTCTTGGACTTACCCAGAAGCGCTTGAACTCGCACGTTTCCAGGAGGTTGGCTAGGTACATGATGGTTACAAGTGGAGCCTCCGATTGCTGCATTCAAGAAGTCAAGGTAAATGCTCAAAAACATTTCCAATTTCAAGATCAGAAGATATCATAGATACTAGGGTTGTGCCGAATATTTGATGATGAAGCAAATATCTGAATAGCATTTTTCGATTCATATTCGAAAAAGTTGAGGTGGTGATAAGGAAGTGCAGGATGTTATAGGTTGCGTGTTTTTTTTGGTAATGCTACACCTTTGTTAAAAGCCACTTTTGTGCATGATTTGAAAGCTTCTATGAGGAACATTAGCTCAACTTTTTCTTTAAACTTGGTCAAATATCAGTCATATGATTCTGCTACCTAGGCCTGTTCTACATAAATATTTTAACCCTAACTTACCAGAATCCATCAAAATCCACACCACTGTTTCGGGGGATTTTTCGGCGGATTCAGGATACCTCCATATTGAAAAAGTTGGGGGATTTTGATGGATTCAGGACATGAAGCCTAGCGGTACTGCAGGATTTTGATGGATTCAGGATACCTACATATTGAGCAGTTGGGGGACTTTGATGGATTCAGGATCTCAACAGATTTACTCCTGGCTAACTGGTGGATTCTGATGGACTCACTGGCCACCAACATTATTTTGCACATGTTGCATGGCAAAATTTATGGATTTTGGGGGATTCAGGATACTTTCTAGTAAATATACCCAAGGGGATAGGGTTAATAAGCTCTTTGTCATTCTAACAAGCGCAGGTACATGTTAAAATCGATGAGTGCATTTTGCAGTGGAATATTCCGATATTCAATGAAGTCCAAGTTCAAATAATCAAACACAAAACTATTCGAAAAATGCACAGCCCTTACTGATACAAGTTTAACGTGGCCAACCTGATATAATAACTTGACATTAGGGAAACATGAATGTCTTTTACTGGTTAAATTGTTGCATGTGGTGTGATTTTGCCATCAAAGTTGGACTCTGTAATATGTAACTTCTAAGAAACGTTTAGAGGTTTAGGGAGACCATTACATGTACAACTGAGAACAGAGTAAATTGCATCTGAATTTGAGACTCAGACAAAATCCCTGGATTTCAGATGACATGAGCACCAGATGTTAATACATAGCTACAGGTGCATGTACTTAATCAAATGATAAAAAACATGCACTACATGGATGTCAATAAAGCGTGACAACAAAAAGCACTATTTATGTGTAGGTCAAGTTACTGTAAATGTACAGAATATGCTAAGGATACATGGACCTCGTCAATGAGGCATTTGCAGAGGATAAAATCTGTATGAGGGAGGTTGGTAAGAGCCTTCAGGAGGACCATGGCTGCAACATTGACCTTGAAAGTGCCTGGATTCAACTGGTACCTGGGAAAAGGGATCAAAAGGTGAAAGGGAGTGGTTAGCCTTTGTGTCAAGTTTGGCTGCATCCGAATCACTTGGCGCCTGGAAGCAAACACATACATGTACATGGGAAGTGGGGATAACCCTCGTAGTTCCCCAGGACTACCAGGCTGCTATATCAAACAGAGTCCGACGGTTACTCATGTGAGTTTCCTGCTCAATACAAAACAGGCCCACACAATCCAACTTGCCAAGTTGTTGGATACCTGAACGTATAAAATGACTGGCACGCTCAATCCAACAGAATCCAACTGTGCCTTGTTTTTCTGTTTCCTGCTGGATCCAACAGAGTCCAACTGGGCATTATTTACCAACACCCAACAGAATCCGACCCCGAATGATTTCAGTTGCCTGCTGAATCCAACATATTTCAACAGGAATTCAAGTACATACACAGGGTTTAAACAGGACCCATTGGGTATGTAAAATAGTTGAGTCCTATTGGATTGAGCAGGGTTATATTGCTGGTCGTGGCCAAGTAATTCGGACACGACTGTTATCAGCCAAAACATTATGGACCAGTTAGAAAATAGTATTTAAATGCACTTCATACATCAACTGGTATGATTATAGTCACCTACCTAATTTAATTCCACTCCAACGTTCATTATACTGTCCTCTTTTTTTGGTCAGAAACCTTCCTAAATCGCAAACACTGTATAAAGTTATGACTTGGGTAAGAGCTCCTTGCAACTTTTATTCAACGGTTGGGCACTGCAGTCCCAATGCCACCAAAATCCTTGAAACTGAGGTGTGAATTTTAATGGAACACTTATTTTGTTCAACTTTACAGACAAGGATACATTCAAGTACATATACTTACAATTTTAAAACTGCCAAGTTCGCCTCCAGATCATATCTATTCTCTGTAGCCTGAATCTCTACATATCGTTCTAATTTTCCAAGGTTTTCAGGATTGTACCTATGCATTGGACAGAGAAACGGTAACAAATTAAAACATTAAAACATCTTTCATGTCTTTAATTATTTAATATATATGGATACGAAGTGTGGCCTATGCACAATTTGGTACTAGTCTGAGCTTCTAAAACCCAACATTGTTTGTCGATAACTGCATGTTGGACTGAAATTCTATTTCCAAATTTGGTAATTGTAAAGTAAAGTGCCCTTTTCCTATACCATGTATACGAAAGAAAAAAATCCACTTTACATATTTGCATATATTGGACTCATCTAATAGTGATCATTGTGATGTTAAAATCCAACAGGATTGTCATGGAAAGAGGGCAGGGTTTTGATTTTTCAAGGGAAATTTTTGGGTACATAGATCGTATCGCAAATACTGCTTGAGTAATTTTGTGCAGTGTGGGAAGGTAAAAGGGGCAATATCTAATGCCTTGTCTCTTCCCACAATTCTCGTTACCCCAAACCAAAAGAGTCCGACTATTTCTGTGTACATAGATCGTATCGCAAATACTGCCTGAGTAATTTTGTGCAGTGTGGGAAGGTAAAAGGGGCAATATCTAATGCCTTGTCTCTTCCCACAATTCTCGTTACCCCAAACCAAAAGAGTCCGACTATTTCTGACATCAGAAATAGTCAGACTCTTCTGGTCTGGGAACCAGACTGGCCTCTGTATATATATGTATACCCTGGCTCATGTGTTAATCTAGCCCTAGTCTTTGGCCCGCACTGGAGTAGGCTCTGCATGCTTGGCCATACGTACGTATTATGTACATGTGAATTGCGTCCCCGCCCGCTTCCTTTTTGGAGGCAGCCTCCTTTTTAATTTCTTCTCTTTTTTTTTTCAACCAAAGAAATGATAACAGTGACATAATTTTGGCCTCTGTCTGTTGCATTTAGCCCATATAAAGCTGGTACGTGTCAATGCATGTATGCCATTTCCTCATTCCAATGGCGGCCAATTTTCGCACTAGTATTAAATTTAGTATTAGCTTGGACCTAGTAATTGCCAGACCATGTCCAAACATGCCAAATGTTAAAAAAGGCGATAAGTTGGGTCCAAGTTACTCGGACTAGACAAGGGCTATGGTCGGGGCCACATGAAAACATGCAGTAATGCACACAAAAGCTGGCGGGCGCGTTGTACGCACTTTTCATCGTACATTGGCATGATTGGGTGTTACTGTTAGGCCTACTGCATTGCGGCCGAGTGGCACATGTCGTGGGTCCTACTAAAGCGCGTCAACAAGCGTCAACAAGCGTCAACAAGTTTCAACAAGTTTTAGTAATCGTTAAGTGCGCGTCAACAAATTTTGTATAGGCCTTTGAACAATAAAAACAGCTTTATATGGTAGAAAAAGCAATAATGAACATCTTCTGCATATCAATTAAAGTTAAAATTATTTTAAAACTTGTTTTATTGAACGCGAAATGTACGACGAATTTGTCGATAAAAATAGGCCGCCATCTTGTTTGGATGGCGCTGTAGTCTTCGCGCATGCGTAGTATGGCTCTTTACACTTCACGCATGCGTAGTACGGCTAGCTACACATAAACAAGATGGCGGCCAACTTTTATCGACAAATTCGTCGTACATTTCGCGTTCAAAAAACCAAGTTTTAAAATAATTTTAACTTTAATTGATATGCAGAAGATGTTCATTATTGCTTTTTCTACCATATAAAGCTGTTTTTATTGTTCAAAGGCCTATACAAAATTTGTTGACGCGCACTTAACGATTACTAAAACTTGTTGACGCTTGTTGACGCTTGTTGACGCTTGTTGACGCGCTTTAGTAGGACCGCATGTCGTGCATGTTGTGGCACAGATGTTGGTTGCCCCGACGTGACCGATTGATAGTCCGATATTATTAGGCCTGATTTTGTGAAATAACTTCTGAACCAAATAACTGACAAGATCTACAAATACTAAAGAAAAGGACGTAAACTAATAAACAGGACCGACTTTTATCACGTTTTCACCTGTCAATTCCTTTCAGCATGGAAGTCACCGTGGCTCTCGCTTCGTCGAACGCCATCTTGGATTTTCCATTAGACTGGAGACCGGAGCTGATCTCATAAATTGAGGACAGGCGCAGGCACCGACGTCACGTCTTTTGAGATTTCATTGGACGATTCCCCTCTCGTTACCGTACCCTGATTGGCCTTTTATTTTAGCAAGAACTACCTTTTGCCGCCACTGGCCTTTGCCGACTTTTATTATGATACAGATAATGATACTGATACAACAAGCACTATTTACGTACAAGTATTAAAACAATTTACTGCCCATTTCCTATTCAAACATGTTTGTACTTAACTGTAATTTACATAACTACTACACTCGTGTGTCTAATAACTTACATTTCCACGTACCCAAACATAGAACATCTGCCTTTAGCTTTCAATACAACATTAAGTACTCTGGACCTAAATTATGAAATAATCTACCATTCTCTCTTAGATGTTCAAGGTCATATAATATTTTTAAACGCAAATTTAAATTGTACTTTATGTAATGTAATATATTTTATATGTAATGTGTCTCTGCCGGCTCCTTAGACTTTTATGCACGGCGATCCTACTCGTAGCCCTAAAATTAATATTTTTCATAACTTTGTTTACTGCTTAGAAGTATACAATGTCATGTGTGTAATTGTTTTTCTGTTATAATTCGTCTTTCTTTGTGCAATGGCATGCCTGATAGCTATGCTTTCATCAAGGTTTTGCCACCTAGTGGCCTTTATTTTCAATACCTGTTTTATTTTTCATTTCTGTCAGGAATGTTTTTGAATGTAAACGTGTTTGAATATAATATAAGTGACACTCGCATCATTCAGATACTTTTAATTCGTTCCGGAAAATCGTTGGGCTCAAGTTAATTCGGATATCGACTTTTCACCACTAGATTTCATATATGGTTCAGTGTAATTCGCGAATATATTACTTATAATCTTAATTCGGCCTAGCATTCGTCCACGGTTTCGAGAAATCGTCTAATTGCGAAGATTGGTGTTGATTGAATTTTTTATACATATATATATTGTTAATTTTCGCGCTTTGGGTAAGCAATTCGGTAACAGGTCATCTCGTACCTTGGGCAACTCGTACCTTGGACAACTCGTACCTTCGGCAAGTCGTATCTTCAGTTAAGACGACTCGTACCTTCACGCGTAAGTCAAGTCGTACCGTCAGTCAGGATAATGATCCGAGGCTGAATAAAGTGGACCGTAACTCATTGAAAGTGGACTGCTTATTAAAATAAAGGCGAATCTCTTTTTGGTATGGGCTCTCTTTCTCCCCAAAAGAGGAATTTATTTAGCGCGAAGCCGGCCGCTATGGCGTGTCAAACGGTTGCAATATTCAATATTTTGCAATGTTCAATATGTGTTTGTTATCTTTGACATTTATATGCGATGTTCAATATAAGTGTGCGATGTTTTTCATTATTTGCGCGATGTTTAATATATTTGTGCGATGTTTTACAATATATGTGCGATGTTCAATATATGTGTGCGATGTTTCACATTTATATGCGATTTTCAATATGTGCGATGTTTTTTACGATATATAATGTGCGATGTTTTCAATATTATGTTCGATTTTTTGCATAAATGTGCGATGTTTTTCGATACAATTATTGTGTGTGTTGTTTTACAATATATTTGCGATATTCTCAAATATGTGAGCAATGTTTCACACATATGTTTGACATTTCGAGCTGTTTGTATTCGATGTTTCATCGGTATGTTTGCATTCGATCTTTTGCAATATGCATTTGATATTTCCCTTTTCATTCAATGTTTCTTTAAGAGTCAAAGTCTGGTTACTAGACCGCGAAAGTCTGACTATTTTGCCTAAAGTCAGTGTATGAGACGTCAGGGGATCGCGTAAAGTGATTAGAGCCAGACCTAAACGGTAAAAACCGGAATTGTGGGTAATTCTTTAAGCATACGCAATGCGTTCATCATTGTTTGGGCAGTACCCCCAGCTGTGCCTGTACTACCCATAGTGTTATGTGCATCATCTATGCATTGAGGAGTGCATGACACATGGTCTGAGCTCCAAGGCCGATGTGCACCTGTCCCGTTTAATGATCCAGTTACCTGATAATTTGTTAGCATAAGCTGATGTAAAATTCATTACTGGACCAAGCCCAGTCTAATGTGGCTTTCGCGAACCCGTGAATCCCGGGTTCGTATTCATGAGCCCCCTACTAAGATAATGGCTATTTAATCAGTTGATGACCATAAATATGTTCTTGATAAGCACTCAGGCTATCCCCAATGTATATGCGTCTGTTGTTTAGAGCCAGCCTGCCTCCCATCAGAATTTGAGTGGTGAGTGTTGCGCCAGTTAAGTGCTGGAAAGAAACGTACAGCTAAGAAAGCCACTTTAGACTGGGCTTGGTCCAGTAATGTGGGCAAAATTAGATGTTTATGAAAAAAAAATCAAATTGTAAGGGACCCCGCTAACCGTGGACGACGAATCGTTACCATATTTTTTTTAGCAAAATCGGGAAAAATCAGATGTTTTTGGAAAATTGCAGATTGTATGGGGTTAGATGTTTATGAAACATTTCAAATTGTAAGGGGCGAAAAATTTCAGATGTAAGGGATTAAGGCCAAAAAAAAAAGTCTCCGGTTTCTGGTATGCGCGCGCGTCGCCGTAGCCATGCGCGTCGGCAAAATGAAAAAGTTTTTTTTTCAATGAACGATGATGTCTCAAAACCGCCAAACTCACTGGTTTGACTGGAATCCTGCTGCTGCAAAATTTTAACGTGTTTTAGATGGGGTTATGATCGAGAATAAGCTTTATGTGGCCTCTCTGGTCTCCCATAATATTTGCACTAAGTTTAGTCGGGCACCATTTGCAGTCATCAGCCGACGTTTGAAGCAAAAAAAAGCAGGTAAAAAAAAAAAAAAAGCTGCGTCGCCGCACCACTTTTTGGGCTAGCTCCATACCAGAAACCGGAGACTTTTTTTTTTTGGCCTAACCTTGCTTTTTAAGTGAAATTTTGCAAAGTTAGATGTTACGAAAAATTTCAAATTGAAAGGGGTTAACCTCGCATTTTTTTTAAAGCGAAAATGGGAAAAAATCAAATGTTTCTGGAAAATTGCAGATTGTAAGGGGTTAACCTTGCTTTTTGAATAAGATTGGGGAAAATTAGATGTTCATCAAAAAAATTCAAATTGTAAGGGGTTAACCTTGCATTTTTTTTTGCAAAATAGGACACAATCAGATGATTCTGGAAAATTGCAGATTGTTAGGGCTTAACCTTGTATTTCTAGCAAAATTGGGCAAAAAGAAATGTTTATGAAACATTTTAAATTGTAAGAGGTGTACCTTGTATATTTAGTAAAATTTGGCAAAATCAGATTTGTATGAAAAATCTAAAATGGTAAGGAGTTAACCTTGCTTTTTTAGCAAAATTTGGAGCATATTTTACTAAAATTGGGCAAAATCAGATGCTTCTAAAAAAGACAGATGTAAAGTTTCCGCAAAAACAGCTGTTGAAAAAGAGCCCAATGTTGAACTTTACTGAGTCTGAGGTCTATCGAGGGGACGATCCTTATTTCAACTCCCGGAGATTCGCTGACAGTCTCTATTTTTCTTTTTGAGAAAGTCGAAATAGCTGAAGAGGGAGGTGAGAATCTATATGTGCCCAGATACAAAGAGTAGAAATCTACGCGTCTGCCTTTTGAAAATACACAATTGCGGTGTTCATTGTTGCGTAATGATCCGCCTAACACAGGACTGTTTTGCACAATGGGCTGTGTTATGCAGCTTCCTAACAAACCAAACACACTGGGCTCATTATATCGACTTGTTTTTACCCATTAAGGTAAAGCAAATGGACCCAGTAATCTTCCTGGCGCGTTTGCTCACCTATAAAGACAACTTTTCTCAGTTTAAGGAAAATTCTAAGGTAACGAAATGGCCGAGTGGTAACGATTCGTCGTCCACGGTTAGCGGGGTCCCGGGTTCGAATCCCGCTGGTGTCTTTTTGGTTTTTAACGAATGAGTTCAATTATTCACTATAAGAGATTTAATTTCCCGTCGTAAAGTACCAACAGTACCTTAGCTTAATCGGTAAGCACTGCTGCTGGTACTGTCCGCGAGTTCCAGGTTGGCGCCTTCGTACAGGTTCAGGGCATGTGGTCCACTCGGAGGATCAGGGCTTAGGGGCCGCCCTGTTCCTCCCTTAGCTCTTTGCTTTTACATGGTGCCTGGCCCTCCGGGGTTATATGGATGGATAGGGAAGGAAGTGTGTATTGGTCGGGACGCCGAGACCCCGGAAGAGAACTAAGGGATCGGCTGGGGCATTGTTATGGCTCAGACCGATCCCTGAAAGCTTGACTAGCACATAACTTTTTGATTTTGTGTACCCTCTATCTTTTATACTTTGGTTTAGTTTGATATCTACAGCTGCTCGGCAGGTCTACGGGTAGTATCAACATTGAAACAAAGGTGTATGTCATTAATCAATGAATATTTCATAATTGACCATAATCAAAACGGAGTTTCGTTTGGTCAATTTGACTAAGGGGTTAACCTTGCATTTTTAGCAAAACTGGGCAATATCAGATTTTCATGAAAAATCTCAAATTGTAAGGGGTGAACCTTGCATTTTTAGCAAAATTGGGCAAAATCAGATGTTTCTGAAAAATTTCAGATGTAAGGGGGTTAACCTTGCTTTTTTAGCAAAATTGGGAAAAAAATCAGATTTGTATGAATAATAAAAAATTGTAAGGGGTTAACCTTTGCCAAATTAGGGCACTAAAAAAGCAAGGTTAACCCTCTTACATCTGAAATTTTCAGATGTAAGGGGGTTAACCTTGCTTTTTTAGTAAAATTGGGCAAATTTTAATGTGCATGAAAAATTTCAAATTGTTAGGGGTTAACCTTGCATTTTTTAGCAAAATACGGCAAAACCAGGTGTTCATGAAAAAAATCAGATTGTAAAGGGTTCACCCTGCATTTTTAGCAAAATTGGGAAAAATCAGATGTTTTTGAAAAAAATTCCGATGTAAGGAATTAACCTTACTTTTTTTCTTTAGTGAAATTTGGTAAAATATGGTGTTTATGAAAAATTTCGAATTGTAAGGGGTTAAGATTGCATTTTTTTTTAAAGCA